GAAGAAGGCTATGTTCTGGGAGAACATTAATATGCCTTCTGCAGTGAGTACTTCCTGGTAAGGCTTTTGCACTGTGCTTGTCTTACTTCATCCTTGAAACTTTGTGTATGTGTGGTAAGTGTGTGTGAGTGTGCCCAGATGTCATTGTCTTCATCTTCTGTTGACAGTATGCATTTGCCAATGGCTTCCATCTTGTTTCCTACCATGGGACATCCATTAAGAATAAATACAGAGGAGCTTCACAGTGCCTTCTGATTCTTAGCATTTGGATCCCATCATCCTGGAGAACCTGACTACTGTGCCACATGGCCACCTGCTTTCTTGTGCTTCCTTGCTTCTTGAGTTCTCACTACCGCCAAATAACCACCCCTACTAGTTAGGTAGAGCGTCTAGGCGATGTGACTCCTTGCATAAGCTGGTCTTGCGGATATGGATGTCATGAAGTCACTGAGAGGCCAGCTGCGGGGCTGTTCCCATAATTCCTTGCATCCACCCACTGCTAGCTAGCAAGCACCAGCAGTGAATCCGCCCACATGTGCTCTGCCGGGAGAGCAAGAGGCACTCGGCGGATCTAGAAAAGGATTCTAGAAACTTCTTTAAATTCTAGAAATTCCTGCTCCTACCACTGGGATGTGCTAGGGGCAGGAATCATGTTATGGGCAGGGAAAGGTCCTGTCATGCCCTAGAAGCAGGCCTGGGAAACATGAGGCATCCCTCACCCTCCACATCTCTCTCTCCATGGACCAGTGGACCATCTGCAGGTGCATCACGGGTGGAAACTGGGCTTGGGAGTCCTGGTGTGGTCTGGGCTGCCGTTGGCAAACTCACGCCACACCACCTCACCTCAAAATTAACAACGGAGAGACGTTCTGGAAATGAAAAAGAAAACACTGATGTTCCCCCAGGAACCGGAGCCATCCTCTGGCCGATTGTTTTAGCAGCTTTGTGTTTGTTTGTTTGTTTTGCTTCGCTTTGTTTCTTTGTCTGCTCTCGGTTGTTTGAAGTTTGGCTGTGCAGTTTGGAGAGCTGTTGGAATACGGGTAAACATCTTGTCGTAGACAGTCGGAGAATGTGTCATGCAGTGGCAGGAGAGGGGTGGTGTAGGGGAGAACCTGCCTGCACTGAAGCAGAAACTGTGCATGACCGTCATGCTTTCACGATGGGAAAGTTACCACTTCTGCACTCCCAGACAAAATGACCACATACCAAGGAACGAGGCGGAACTCTACAAACTGCCCCAAGTACAAAGGGGGAGGAGGAAGACCATGGATTGGATCGTTTCCCCATCTCCACCAATGGAAGAGTACTGCGCTCTTGGTGATCAATCCAACTCTGTCACTCCCACTCCCAACTTGACTATTCTCCCCTCCCAACTGTCCTAGTCCAATATTTTATTCTGAGTGGGGTGGTGTGAATCAAGGACCTGCAACAACAGGGGGTTGGATCCCACGACCTTCTCGGCCCTTTCCAACTATCCTATTCTAATCCATCAGTTCATTCATTCATTAATTTCCGTAGGACTTGCACTGGGGAACTTCCCAAGATATTCATGCCTGCAAGACTGCCAATGCCCTTGCTGTTTTAGGGAATAGCTGATAACCTCAGTGGGACTTGATTCTGAGTAGGGAGGCATACACCACTGGTTGATGGGAATGGGTACTTTGTTTGAAGGAAGCACGCACACCCCAAAGCAAACATGGTTCATATTCCACTGCTCCACCGCACTTTTGTCTCTGCATACATTTTGTCCTGCAAAGACTCAGGAGATATTCATCCCCTCCACCCGTTTTCCAGATGCCACTGAGATCCAGTGCAGCAAGAAAGGTTTGTTGGCAATCTTTCTGATGAAAACAGAAAAGCAACAACACCAAATGGCTCTCTTTCTCTCTCTCTCAATCTCTCTCTCTCTCTCTCATTCTCTCTCTTTTAAAGACAAAAACAAAACACAGGTAAAACCTAGAACAAACCGACAGTTACAACCAAGTGACACCAGAATGGAGGTAGCTGAGACCTGCTTCCAATGAATCCTCTGGGGCTGAAACCCTCCTCATCTTTGAAAAGGCGGGGAGAGCAAGAGAATCCAGGCCACCAACTGAGTCTATTAATATCAGGGAAAAGAGGGGTCAAATCGTTGGGAGGAGTCCTCTGCCGTGCACGGATGCCAGTCTTGCCTAACCTGGAAGTCTACAGGTGTGTTGGACCACAACTCCAACCAGCACCGCAGTTGTTTTCCAACACATCTGGAGAACATCTGGCTCATGAACCTTGATATTCATAATGCCCTTGTTCCAGGGACAAAGTTGGTGGTGGCAGGATGTGGGAAGAGCATGGATGGACCGTCCCCTAGAGATCTCAGCTGCCATTGGTGGAGCAGCAAGCGGTGTTCCTCTAACCACTGCCAAGCTGTGGCAGGCATGTTGGACTGGACCTCAGGAGAGGTGGGTTCTAGTCCCATCCGGCCATAAAAGGCATCTTTGGGCCAGTTACTGACTCTCAACCAAGTCTACCCCAAAGGGTGGTCAGGAAACAGCAGGGAGGCTGATGTAAGCTGTGTTGGGTTCTTTGAAGGTGGGATATAAATAAAGTAAGTTTTGGCACTTGAGGCAAAATTCCTCAAGCACTTCTGACCCTCCCTGACAGTAAGAATGGAAGAACACATCATGCCATCAAGCATGGCTCTAACCCAGAGGGGATGCAGCTAGTCCCTAAAAGGAAAGGAACCACAACAACTGGGGCTTTGTGCAGTTTTCCAGCTTCTTGTACCCGCTTTTCCCCACCATCTGCGGGAGAGGCCCTTCTCCAGGAACCCTCCGTGAAGGAAATTAGGAGGGTGGGTACTCAGAGGAGGGCTTTCTCTGCGGTGGCGCCCAATCTATGGAATGCGCTCCCCAGAGAGGTCCGCCTGGCACCGTCGTTATTTGTTTTTCGGTGCCAGGCGAAGACCTTTTTATTCAAACGTCATTTTAATTGCTAATATTATTTCCTTATTTTATTCTTTGGCCAGGGCGACTTATTTTATATTGTAAATTCGTTTTATATTTTTAATGTATTATATTTTAATGTTTTGTGAGCCACCCCGCGGCTTCGGCGAATGGGGCGGCATAGAAATTTTCTAAATAAATAAATAAATCTCTTCCCCTGTGGACGCTTGGGAACTTCAGCTTCACTGAGGGCACTTGCTGACGATCTGCTCCCAGTTCCACACAGAGTGCTAGGTTCCAGAATCCCTTGGGGTGAGAGGACACAATTTAAGGTTAGACTCGCGGATGTCCTCAAGCAGCCCCTGCATTTGGCTCTCTTAGGGGGATCTGGTGCTTTGATACCCAGGGCCATGGTCTGCTTGCTCTCATCATCCTGACATCAGCACACGGCAGTGAGTGGAATCAGTTCTGTTTCAGAACAACAAACAAACAAACAAGCAAACCCAGCAACGGGATGTGGAATGGCACACCTACTCCATTTGCGGGATTCCTAAATATGTCTCCTGCTTCCTTTCCTTTGCTCTTTCTTTTCATTTCGAAGCTGCCCTGGGGAACTGTGGCAGAGTCCTTGTAGGGAGAAGGAACCCGAGTTGAGCAGTGAGCAGAAGACCAGTTCTAGCAGCAAGAAATGCACCAGAGGCCCAGGGAAAGGGCAAAGGGGGAAGAAGGGACCCAGCATGATGAACAGGCCAGACAGAGAGATGTGGCAGCCCCCAATGCCTCTTCTCTTGCAAGAGTAGGATCCTGCCTGGAAAGTTAATACTGATAAAGGTTGATCCTTGCAGCTTCTGAGTCCATAGCAACTAGTCTTTGCAACTGGGGAAACCGCGTTTTCCTCCACCCTGCTCCCACAAGCTATAGCCTGGTTTCTGCTGCGGGAAAACATAGAAATATATTATAAAAATGTCAGGACGGGCGGAAAGAAATCCTAAACATGGTATAGAAAGGATGCACTGAAGGGAAGGAAGCAGACTTGGGTAGCTGCTGGGAAAACCCTGTCCCTGAGTAGGGCTGGTTTGTTTGTTTGTTTGTTGGTGTGTGTTTCGCTGGGTGCATTGGGGATTTGGGTTTTGGCAGGATTGGTGGACTCATCCTCTGCCCCCAGTCGCTGTGATGAGGAGGAAAATCCCGAGGTTTGGAAGGCAGGCTGTAGGTAAAGTAATCTAAGGCAGACTGTTTGGTTGCTTGGAGGTTGAATGGCACCCTGTTTCTGACACAGTAAGGGAATCAGTTAAATGGGGCATAGCAGCAGAAGTAGCAGCAGCAAGATGGAGGTTTGGTTGACCTTCGTCGTCGTCTTCCTCTTCTCCTCCTCCTCCTCCGTTCCTCGTGGTGGTGCAGTGTGCCTCCAGTCCTTTGTCCCAGCCTAGCAGCGTAACTCTCTCCAGCTCTCAGCTCACGGCCACAGGTGAGTCACACCTGGGCAATCCCTCCCTCACACATGAAGCCAACGGACAGATGCACTTCTCTTCCCCACCCCTAAATGGCTCCCTGGGAGCCCACCTGTGGTGAAGCTGCCTCTTAACCGAGTTCTGGCGCCATTCTGCGCCGAGGGAAGCCCGGCCTAGCTAGGAAGGCCAAACTCTTCCACAAGAGCATTTGGGGCTGTGGACCTCCAAGAGAGAAAAGACTCCGAGCTCCTTTCTCTTCCTGCAGCACACTTTTCTCTCTCCAACTCTCGTTCTCTCTTCCCTCCCTCTCTCCCTAGTTTCTCTCTATAAATATTAGGTATATATTTATATATATGGCTTGTTTCTTGCCTTAATCTGGATACAAAAAAGCAAAACGGAACCAAAAGACGTACAAATGCAAAACTGAATCGCACATGGTTTGAACACGGCGATGGTAGACCTGTGTGACACCTGCTTCTTCTCTCTCCTTGACTCTAAAAAAGTCTTCTTGGATTCAACCATTTGCTGTTTTGCTTGTTCTTGCTAGTAAGGTATGTTTAATATACTAACCTCCTCCTTCCTCCATCTCCCCCCCGCCCCCCCCCCCCCGTATTTCAGTTCGCTGTGGGCAAAGTAAAGGCAGACTGGTTGAATTCTAAAGGTCCCTGGTGCAGAAATGCCATTGAGTTGAGCAGCTGAGATTGCTGGAAACCAATACCAAGAAAAGGGGGATGGAATGACTGCTTGCCTGCCTTCGATGGCGCGGTGTCTTCTCTCCCTCGGTGCTCTGCGTTATCCAAGACTGAAGCCGTGAGGAGCGCGCTGCTTGTGCTCCTCGGCCTCCGGATCGAGGCAGGCGCATTCTCCCTGCAAGTCGCAGGACATTGGGAACGGAATGATCTGTGCAGAGAAAGCCCGAGAATGGCAACTGTCAGAGAGCCTCCCTCGGAGGTGCTTTATAAGACTGGTTTCTCTGTCAAGTACGGGCTCACGAGCCCTGCGACTGAGCCCTGTGAATGCTTCGGCTGGTTAAACATGAGCGGTGAAACGGGAGTAGGCTGGCAGCACAGGGAAATCAGTGTCGCTGCCATGCCCCATGCAGGCAGATTCCCGTTTAGCTCCGATTCTTACTGGTCAGAATTCACTTCGCCACATGTGAAAGCAAAGATAGAAACACCCTGCTCTGCTTTGGTGCTGCCTATTCCTTTTTGCAAAGATGTTTTCAGCCGAAGAGCAGGCCCCTGCTGGGGAGCATCAGTTCAGGTTTCAGCTACCTGCACCTTTAAAACAAGCAGATGCAGGGGCTGAGGCAACATCTTCCCCGTCTTGCTACGGTGAAAGAAAGTACATTGCAGAGGATTACGTCAGGAATTTGCAAAAGGGAGAGAGCCAGGACACGACGGTCGTGGAGGAGGCGGAGACTTCGGTGCCTGGAGTGAATTCCCCAAAGTCTTTCCCATCTGCGCAGACAGAATGAATAACCTAATTCCCCTCCCTTCCTGGACAATGCCACAACCTGTTGAAACGTTTGCATGAGCATAATGGATGTCCACTCCCTGCTGACACATTGGTTTGCTCCTTCTTGCCTGCTTTGTGGCAAGAATACTTTTTTTTTTTTTTCAGGCATCCGGGTCATGTATCCAGCCCTTCCCTGTTGTCACAGGAACTGGGGATCTGCGCCACAGAGACACACGCAACCATGTGCCCACATGAATGCTTGCATGGCTGTGGAGCCTCCTTCGCCATGCATGTACCTGCCTGCCTCTCTCTTCAGTACATGCCAGTCTCCTGACTCCCAAATTATGCAAAGCAAGGGCCATGTCATCTCTGATTTCTCAAGTAGACAGCCTCTTGTACCAGGGAGTGGTAGATTTTCAAAGCAGATAACTCTGGGGCCCATCCTACGGCATCAGACAGATCTTTCGTCACCACAGTCCTGCTTTCACAGCTGCAGAGAACCTTCTGAAAGATAACTGTGGGTGAAGTCTCTGGTGAGAAATGGAAGAGCCATGACTTCTTCGCCAGAGGATGCTCCATCGCTCCTCTACAGGGGGGACTTCTCTCTTTGTTCCCATGGAACAAGAAAGAGAAGCAAATGCGAACCACATTCTGATGAGGGTTTCTTCTTCAAATGCATGGATTCCCCACCCCAACAAAACACCCTCCTTGCCTTTTCCTCCTCAGGAAGCATCTCAGAAGCCTTTACAAGGGTGTCTGAGGGGTCTGAGAAGGAGTGACATTTATTTTTATTTATTCTTTATTAAAACATTTATTCTCCAACAGATTGTCTCTTTTGGCCCCACAGATTCCATTCCATCATCCCCGCGCTGGGGCCAACCTGATCTGGTGTAATTGCAGCCAGCACGTGTGCTTCCACGCTTAATATGGGCCACAACGTGTTTGTTTGTGTGTGGGGGGGGGGGGCGGTTAAGCTGGGGACTTTACTCCAAGCCGAGCCCCTGCTCCACCACGTGTGTGATTTGCATGAGCTGTGGAACGAGGGTGCAGAGCTGGCCTGCATCTGCTTAGCCAGTTTAAGGTGGCCAAGCCGCAGGAAGCACGCAGAGAGAGGGCTTCCACACTTGGTTTGTTAAATGCCGAGCAAAAAACAAGGCCAAGAACAGCAATGGCAACTCGGATCTAATGACTCGGCCCCAGGTGGTGTGAACTGCACTAGAGACAAACATTTCTCGGTTGTGGAAGCTGAAGAATAAGCAAAACAGAACCCAATAACAAAACAAAACAAAAAGAGAAAACACAAAAGCAAAACCAAAATCCTCAAAAGTCCACCTTTGACCATCAGGTTGGAAATATGTCAAAAGCCCATTAAGCTCAAACAGAACATGTTTCCCACTATTGTGCAACCCGCGCCTTCACACGCAGGCCAGCGGCCAGAGAGTAGTGATGTTATAGCCCAAAACAACACCACAATGAGGAAGTATGCAGTACGAGCCTTAACGACAGCCAGAGAAAAAGCTAGTGGCTTGAGGTTTACCAACCTTAAGAAAATAAGAAAACACCTTTTGAAGCAGCAAGGTCAAGGAGATTTTACCAGCTGCAAGGGATATGTTTATGGATCCTCTTTCCTTGGCGATCCCCACTAACCGTCAGCGGAGAGACTTGCTGAGTAGCCATTGGGGTTGAAAGAATGCACAAACACAGCTTCATCCTCAAACGTGCCAACTACGAACAGTTATTACACCCAAAAGATTCTAAGGGGGGGGGGTGCAAGAAAAGCCTTCTCTCTAAACATGATTTCAGAATTTGGATGTGTAAGATCACCCATCAAGAAGGAGCTCAAAAAACACAAATCAGCAATTACGTTCAGTGCAGCTCCTTTGAGAATGGCTTTCTCCTTTTGCATTCTTTTTCGCTTTGGAGTCTACTTTTGGGTTTTATTTTCAGAAACCTACATCAACCAAAAGAATCATTTTCTACATCACTATATATTCATACAGAGAGAGTCTGGAATGTCCCACTGTTTCGGTAATCGCTGCTAAAGTAGAACATTACAAATGTGACAAGAGTAAGATTGGCAGTCCACGGAGATGCTCAGTGAAACTCCCAGAGAGAAGCATTTTCAGAATTCAGGGGAAGGTCCCAAAACAAGAGTGGGATTTCCATGTGGAACTTCTGCCAGGAAAAGGGAGGGGTGCGGAAGGACCATGAAAACAAGAACACCCAGCCATAGGGTGGCCATATAAAGAATAGGAAGCCACCTTACCTTTTTAGACTTCACGGTTGAGACACAACAGTCCCCTCCATCGTAGTTGCAAAAGGCTCGGTTGTTGCTGGAATCACAGTAGTTGTCTCCCATGAAAGGCTGGAAGTCAGAAGAAAGAGGGAAGAGAATGAGAAGTGGGTGAGAACATACAATCCTGTCCATAAATGCTCTATCCCGGGGGTCCTTCTCAAATACTCACAGTAGGTAGGCATGCGCAAGAGACAAGTCCTTCTTGGTGGTAGCCCCCAAATTCCTTTCTAATGGACTTCTGTCTGTCCCCTTCAGTGCAGGCATTGAAGACCTGCTGCCGTTAATGGAAACCTTTAGAGCTGTATGTCCGGACCCTTGTAAGATTTTCCATCAAATGATGCCTTCGCTGAATGAACCGAGTTTAACTTCCTTTCTGAGAGTGCTTCATTACCAGATAAATATAGCTGGATGATTAAAAGAGGTCTCCAGATCCTGGCTGAGAAGGAATCTGGAGGCCGCTCTGTGAATTCCATTTCTCCAACTCCTGCCATGCCTGATTTTATGTATTCATTGTGCCGTTTCTCTGCGTAGGCCAGCTCAAGGCAGTTTACAATGAAAACAATCTAGCAAAGCAAATCCTATGAAGACATGATCACACACATTAAAAACCACAGGGAAAGAAACCAAGGCCACCTTAAAAATACATTTTAGGGAGCCAAGGTTCAGTGTGGATGCCAGGAAGCACTTCCTGACAGTCAGGACCCCGAGGGTGTGGAATGAGCTTCCACGGGAGGTGGCTGAGGCCCCATCGGTGAGAGTGTTGCATGTCCAGCAACAAGGAAAGGCTGGACATACACATGGAAGGCATGTCATGAGCAGAGCTGGCTGGAGCCGGGGGTCAGACTAGATGGCCTAGGAGGTCCCTTCTGTTTCTATGTTTCATTTGCTGCAATAATGCTGTTTCAAAGCAAGAGCCAAAGGGGACAACTGGGATGTGGGGCAGGTGTATCCCCTGACGGGGCACAAGGGAACATCTCTCTCCCTTCTCTTCAAGTAACTTCCAGAGGATGAGAAGAGAATGAGGCATGTTCTGCAGTTGTTTCCTCTGGAAGGCACGGGTTCCTTGGAGACCTAGACCCCACCTCTTAAGGGCTTTAAAAGCACACACAAGAGCCTTGAACTGTTTGCACTGTCCTTAGAATGTGTCTGGAGAGAACTGCCAACAACACAGCCCAGAAATACATACCGGGCCAAGCTGTGAGTCTGAAATATGCATCCAGCAACATTCCAAAACGCACGTGCCACAGGCCTCTCTTCATTGCCTCGCATGATACATAGCTGTGGAGCTACAGTCACGGTTGCAGAAGTACAGCCTGCTGGGTCAGACCAGAGGACTACCTTGTCTGGTATCCTCTTTCCCACAAGGCCCACCAGAAGCTTCTGAGATGTCCACAAGCAGAGAAAGAAGACAATGGATTCGGGCAATGGGTTGTGGGTTTCTAGTCCACAAAGCTCACTAGGGAAATTTGGTCACTGACGCTCCACCTTCTCTACCTCTCAGGATTATTGTGGAGTTTATCTAAGCTTCCTCGGAGGAAAAAGGACAATCAATAAATCAATTTACTTCCCTTTGCATTATGGTCCCTCCTCCCCACTCCATGAATTCTGGAGTGTTCTACTGACTGGACTGTGCCAGAAAGAACCTGCACCGTGATGGTGGCAATGGAAAATAATCCTGATTTGGGGGGTGTTGGAAAGATGTCTTGGAACGTGATCACCCAAAGGTGTGCAAGAACCTCCAGGATGGAGTTCTGCATTTGCAACATGTGCAGCTGCTTTTGATAATGGGTTGGCTGCCCAAATTCTGCCTGGTTTAGTTGAACAGAGCCATGCTACATCAGCTCAGAGGGAATTCCACTGGCTCCTAGAAGCCCCTAACCGAGGGGCTGGTCATCACAGGTTTAAGGAGCACATGCCCTGGATCCTGAAAATCTGAAAGAAGTCGCCTCTCCCGCATGCGTTCAGATCTTTCTGCACATGCCATCTGTAGGAGAAATATGTTGCGCATTTACAGAAGAGTTCCCTTGACCTCAGAATACTTTTCCAAGCAGGACGCACATGGCACCAACCTTGCTTTCTTTTGCTGGCTCTGACTCAAAATGTTCCTTTTTGCCGAGACATTTCAAATCTGATTCCTGAAGCTAAAAATTACTTTGTCCCTTTGTAGGCTGGCTGAAGGCATTTTATGTTTTGTGTAAGTTTATCCTTCTTATTATATTGCATTTGTCTTTTTTATACTCAGTGGCCTTATGAATGAAGGGCGAATAATTTGTACGTTATTCAGATAGGCGAAAATAAATGAATCGCTGCCCATTTTGCACTTCGATGAATGAGGGATGTCCCAAGAAATGGGCTTGCATTCCATCTGGAACGCAGCTCAAATGCCTTGTTATATTAACCTCCAACTATGCCATTCGTCCTTTTTATTCTAAAGTGCTTGCGTGTGTCTTTAGGGGGGCAGGGTTACTGAGGGCTCTGACGTGACGATAAAAGATCCCTCGAGATGATCAAAACCCCCACCCATTCGGTTCCTTAAAAAGCTTTTGGACAATATAAATGGAAGTTGCTGGAGTTCCAACCCGTACTGAAGCAGGGAGTGAAGGGTGACGCCTCTCTCTGGTGCTGCCACCCCTTGCTTCGGTCTTACTCCGGAGAAGGTCACTGCTGCCTCTTTTAGAATAAGGTACTTTAGATAAAGGTGGGATGCAACTATAATGAAACAAACAAGCCAGTGGTATATTTCAAGACGTGTACAATTTGGCTCTTACTGGGAAATATCGGGTGGTTCAGTTTATCCAGAGGTTGCTCTGTTTTTATGGAAATTAAGCTCCTGTACCTCAGGAAGCAACAATGACACCATTGAGATGGAATCTCAGCTAAAACAAAAAAGACCCATGCCTATTTATTTGGAATCTCCACTATCACCATGTTGCATTTATAACCCACTCCCCCCACCCCCTTTTGCAGGGAATCCAAGCTAGTTCCATGTTATCCTCACCACAAACACCCTGCGAGGTTGGCTAAGCTGAGAGTGAGTAATTTATCCCAAGCTCCAAGGATGAGTGGGGACCCAAACCCAGATCTCCCAGGTGTCCTGTCCAACATTCTCACCACCACACAATTGACAGCTGAAGGTTGAGAGAAACCCACTCGCCATTTCTCATGTGGCTTCCAGCACTGTCATCGAAAGAGTGCTGAACATGACGATGCAGCTAGAAGTCCCCTGCTACATAACCACGGCCAAAAAGCTCCCTGGCTACATTTGCCAATCTTGGAGGAAGCCCACTGGATTCAGTGAGACTTCAGCTTCCAAGGAGTTGCACGTCGGATTGGAAGCCTGCTCCATCAGACGTCCTCCTCTTCTGAATGCATCCATATGGGCCGTGCGTGCCCATGCCTGGTCATTTCACAGTTCACAGGGCTTTCTTGCATCCCTCCTTCTGTTCTCCTCTTTCTAAACAGAGACGCACCCTGCCCTTTCATGGAAGAAACTGCTTCTGGAAAAAGGAGTGGGCAGCTCAAAGCAGCCATGGTTTTGTTTGCAGCTCATCTCCAAATTAACAGCACGGCTTGTGTGTGTTTCAAAAAATAGATAAAATAAAGCTTTGGGAGACAGGAAGAACAATCAGGAGGTCTGGCTCCTTCTCCCTTAGGATTAGCCAAGGTCAAGCTCATAAATATTTCAAGGACACATTTGTGAAATGCTTGGGATCTCCTAAGTTTCTCTGCTGCTGTGCACTCCCTTGCAGGGTTGGAAAGTTTTCACTGCCCATGTGCCATATCCAGGAAGCAGATGTCTTGTATGTGCAAAGGAAGCTTACATCCATGCAAGGGCACCTGATTTTCCATGTCTGAGTTTTGCAGGGCACTTCTCTATACGTTGAATGCCATGGGCAAATCGTTCAGCTCCTGGCACTCCTTAATTAATTCATTGATCAGACTTGCAGCCCTTTCTGCCATGGAGGAAGGAAAGAGATGCTTCTTGATTCAATCTTGCAGCTATACTAGGGAGTGCGGGGGGGGGGGGGGCTACCTCAAATCAAAACAGCACCTGTGTGTGTGCAGAGATATGCACAGTTCCAGCACAAGGGACCGATTTGCAAGGAGATGAGTTAAGTGCGAAGGGTAAACACAGGCCTATTAATGGAGCAGTGAGACAACTTTTAATCATCCATCTCAAGATCCCCCCTCCCCGACTTTAAAAGCTTCCACTTCCTGTGTGCTGGAAAACTTTGATTTAAAGGAGGGGCTTAAACACCTGAGTAATTTTAACTCATGTGAGGCATGAGGTAAGCGCAAACTGAAGTGAGAAGAGATAATACTGCTAACAACCGCTACGGAGAAATTGAGTACGTGTTCAAGAATTTAAGGTTTTCAACATGAAACAGCCTTTGGGTACAACATGAAATGCCTTCTGCTTATATCTCCCAGGCCTTGTGTGGGAAGAGCTCACAGGGTTGGGTCTATACTTCATAGAGTTCAGAAGGAAGACCTTTGGCAATGCGAAACATAAACGTAAGCACAAACATGAGTGCAAGCACATCAATAAAATCCCAAAACAACAATGGGGCAAAGTTTGAGGAACATTTTGGAGAACCTCAATCTGCTCGACACTTGCATGTTTACCATCCCCGATTTATTCCAATCCAAGGCTGCCATCAGTCATAAGGGCTACCCATTGGTTTTCTTTTTAAGAACAGCACTGGATTATTCCCAGGGTGCTTCATTCTGGGCCCAGATCCAAATTACTGTGTTGGTCCAAGCCCCTGGGACTCAGAGGGAGTTATGATACATGCCCCAGAAAGCAGAGCATGCTGATACAGACAGACGATCAAATTCTGCGGTCGTGCTAGCCAGAAAAAACCCGCTGAATCGGGGATCCCCTCATGGCAACTGCAAAAAGCCAGATTGGTATCAAATCCATTATATGAAGGGAGAGCTAAATCTGTGTCAATCTGTCAACTTCCATCCCCATGGAAGACAGAAAGATTGGATCCTACTTATCTGAGAGACCATTGATTGATTGATTGATTTTTATCCTGTCTTTTTCCTACAAAGGGCTCAAGGCAGCTTACAGCATTCTCCTCCTCCATCTTATCCCCACAAAAACAGCCCTGTGAGGTAGGTTGGGCTGAGAGTCTGTGACTGGCCCAGAGTCACCCAGTTGGCTCCATGGCTGAGCGGGGACTTGAACCCAGACTGTTTGAGTCCCAGTCCCATGCTCTTAACCACTACACCACACTGGCTTTTACTTGCTGGTCCCATGTTTGCCTTTCAAAAGCACTGACTGCAAGTAATCTGGGCAGAAAAAGGACCATCTGAGGCATGGAAGTTGAGCTAGGAGGGAGGGTGTAAGATACCAGCACTTCCAGCACTGAGAAGTGCTGGGGGGGCAGGGGAGAAGAATCCAGTGACCAACGTGGTTCTTCATAGTCACAGAAGGATGTCCCTGGTCTACCATGAAAGTGATGGCTGATGCAAACCATTCAAGAGGAGTGCGGACTCCTCATGGCAAAAGGTCATGTGGACACTGGACCTGCAAATCTCTGTAGAGCTTTGCATACTGATAAATGCTCAGTCACCCCCCAAGCCCAAGGAGTTCTGGGAATGTAGGAGAACCCCTTCCCCCCGGACTCCATAGTGCCTGGGAATGGGAGGTTTCTCCAGAGCTTCATATGATCTACTGACACCCCACCCCACAGAAGGGACACCTGGACAGGTCATGGGGCTTACAGGGATGGGTGGACCCTTCAAGCCTTGTTACACACTCAGTGGTGCCATTGGGAGCATCAAGGAATAGGTGGGCTGGAAGGGGCCAAGAACGCCACCGAGTCCAACCCCCTGCTGGTGCAAGATGTTAGTTACACCATCTCACTCAGGTAACTGCCTAATTGTCTCCCAAATGTCTCCAGTGTGGAAGAGCACACGACCTCTCTTGGAGGCTGGTGATGGACTCCACATTCTGAATCAGGCTGGGGAAAGAAAAATCTTTTTGGGCTAGTGGTGGCATCAAATAGACAGATTTGCAGGGCTCAGTTCAGGCGTGAGTCAAGCAGAATTCTCCCAGAATGCTCTAGGCCAGGATGCATCTCCAGCCATTAACGAACTGCCTGCCTACGCAATGCAACTGTGCAACCTTCGCACTGGAAATCAAAAGCACTGCATTGAGCAAGCACTGATGTTGATTCCTCTCCCTGGGTTCACTGCTACGACGGTGAACAAGGCCTCATACTTGCAGTGACTTGTTCTGAAGGAAGAAATGCAGCAACGGGCAGACTGTTTCCCCTCTGTGCAGGGGAGCTCCGTCGGCTCATGTAGGGCGACAGCTCGGTCAGGAATGCTCACCTCGCAACCCTTGATGCAGTGGATCAGGGCAGGATGCGGGTACCACTTGAGTTCGGCTGTACAGACGACATTCTACAAGAAGGGAATGAAGAATACAGGCACTGAGGAGGGGGATCGGTGCAGAGAAAGCTTGCCCATTCTGCTGACTACTGGTTTGGTTCCCCCCACCTGCCCCCACCTCTTCTTTTCCTGGCCGCTCCTCATCTTGCACCCTAGAAATTTAGTTTCTCTCCTAAAACACCAGAGGTTCACCGGATCTGGCGCCTCTCCAAGTATTTACAAGAAATGCTGGTCCCGACACTTGCAAAAACAGAACGCATGAGATTAAAATAATATTTAAGGTTCCCTCGAAGCGCCGTGTTTAATATTTCACTCGTGACAGGGAGAAACAGCCTGAATTGTGGAAAATTGGAGTGGGGGTGGGAAAGGGGAGAGAAATTTGGTCATGGCCTCAAGAGGGTGTCTGTATCACTGCAAAAAGACCTAGAATGCCCATGGAGGGGATGACTGGATGTCCTGCCCTGGTGGGAAGATTTGGGGCAAGAAGAGAACAGGACAAACCTTCAGCAGGGGTAGGTAGCCCAGTATCTTCCAGATGTTCTCATTGACAACTCCCATGATCCCTGACCATTTGCAGGACTTCTGGAAGCTGCATATGCAGGGTAGTAGGATTAGCCTTGTAGGGCGGAAGAGCAAATGAGGCCATCGGGATCTGTTTGACACATCTGTATGAATATTTGGGGGGGTCTGCCCACATAGAATGAAAATTTTATGTCAGAAAAGCTGGTGTAAATTTCTGGTTTTTCTTTGAAAATCAGAAAAGCTTTTCTTTTGGGGAGACCTCCATGAGATCATGTAGGTTTTCCAAATGGCTTCTGCAGATTTTTCAAGTAGGCACAGGTGAAAGCTGGTAAGGTGTGATGGGGACCACCAGGTAAAATAATGCTGCTGAAGAGGTTTGCGGAGATGTGAGTGACGCTGCATCACTAGGGGTGTCCATTGTAGTTGGCCAATATATTTGGCCAATGAGAAATCAGGTTATGGTGCAAGCACATGCATGTTTAATCCAAGAAGAGAGCTACAGTTCCCAGCGTTTCCCAGCCTGCATAGCTAAGGGCATCACCTTATGCACATTTAATCAATAAAGATACATTTTGATGGATGAAAAGAGGAGCTGCCTCCTTCTCCAAGGGCAGAAGTGGTGATAAATCAATTGTGTTCAGAGTTTATATAAGTACAATAAATGTTAACTGCAGCTGAAAGGGAAATTCACAACAGAGACGGCTGTTGTCTCTTCCTTCCCTGCTGTAGGCTCCAAAACACCAGCTGTATTGGCACTTCCCAACTCACAAGGCATTGCAACTCCAAAAGCCCCCCAGCAAGCTGAATGAAGAGCTTCTGCTCATGTGCAGAAGACTGTTGAGCCCAACCTAGGCAGTCTCCCCAATTCTGACCTTTCTTTCATTTATTTATTTATTAAAACAATTTTATGCCGCCCCATTCACCGAAGCCTCGGGGCGGCTTTCATGCTGTGGGCTGCATCGTCAAGAAGAAAGGCAGCTGGTGAGACCCACCCAAGCCCTCTGATTGGGTCACTTGTCTCTCCCAAGGCTTCATCCCTGGGGTCAGGGACTGGGCAAGGCAACGGCTCCCCCTCCTCCCCTCCTGTCTCTTCCAAAATGCACCTGCTCTCACAGTCAACCTTGGAGACTTCTGACTGTGATCTTGGTGGGACATCAAAGGCTTCTGCCTATCCTGGACCCTTCTGCCCTCCCATTGCATCTTCCTCACGGTCCTCCTCTTCAGAATCCAGGTGCCCAGAACCAGACACAAGATTCTAGGTGAGGCCTGACTAAAGGGGAACTGGCACCTCTCTCCTTTTGGAAGTGATACTTCTCGTTCTGCATCCTAAAAGAGCATTCACTCTTTTTTGAAGCTGGATCGCATCGCTGGCTCATATTTAGCTTGTTCTCTACAACAACTCCAAGGTCTTTTTCTTCGTCAGTGCTGTTGAGCCAAGTATTCCACATCTTGTATCAGTGCATCCCCCCTCCCCTGGCAGAGAACTTGGCATTAGTCCCTGTTGAATCTCATTCTTCTGGTTTCACAGCCCAGCGGTCTAGCTTGTCTAGGTCACCCTGGATCAAACCTCATGCAATTAATTGATTAGCCGACCAAGTTTCAGTCCCCTCGAGTGAACGGAGCTTCTCTGTGGGTGAGTCGGCATCAGCAATACTGGCTTATATCTGAGTAAGCAAGCATGGGATTGGAGTTTAAGAACACAATCCTATGCATGTTCAGAAATGCACTAAGAGGCCATTTGTGGACAGCTGTAGAAACTGCATCCAAATTGTCCTTCCAACTTTGCAAAGCAATCCAGGAACAGGACAGAGCGAACTTGTGCTTCAAAGGCTTCAGAAGTTCTAGAAAGCATAACAGGCGGATTTGTCCATCGCGACAGAAGGGCAGGATATAAACGGAACAAAGAAATGAATAGTGGCCTGGAGCTCATGAGTCATCTTTTTGTTTATCTTGTGGGAACATTTCATAAGTGAACCTTCAGCAGTTTCATCATGGGGACACCATGGACATTTTAAAAATGTACTCAACACTGTCTCCCAGTTGAAAGATTTTCATTGCAATAAAATATGCCCTCCCAATTCTTCTCTCTGTTTCCAGTTGTTATGGAAAAGACGGAGAAGAGCACCAACCAAGATAAAGTGGAAGAAGAAAAACAGTTCATATCCTCCAGCTAGAACTATTTAGGCTGCTGCTGAGAGACCTGAAGGGGGCAAATCCACAGGACAGAGGTGGGAGTTCTGGGAAGTCCATTCAAAAATCTCCCAAGCAGGCATGGAAGAGGAAACATTGGACTGTTCAGCAAACACCATTTTAATTGTTAAAATATATGATCTGGCCAGGGCAACTTTCTTCTTCCTTCTCTTTTCTCCTCCTATATTATTTATTTACTTATTTTATACTGTTAATTTTAATTTTATATTATTATGTTCGTAACTCAGTGTATTTTTTGTATTTTTGTATTTAATGGTAATTTATTATGTTCTATTGTATTTCAATGTATTTTATTGTGTTGTAAGCTGCCCCGAGGCTTTGGCAAGGGGCGGCATAGAAATGTTATAATAATAAAAAATAATAATAATAATATGAAACAAGCAGATGCAGGACTCCAGTGTACCAGACAATCGATCCATCTTGCCCAGAGTTGCCTTGACCGGGAGAAGGATCACAGCAGACACCTTTGGGTGTTGGCGGTTGTTACCTTCAGTCACCTAAAACTGTCTCCGAACCCTACTTTTCATTGCACCCTAGATTTGCTTCCACAAGGGGGCAGGGAATTATTGGAGCAAGCCATGTATTGATAAGGCAATTACGGCATTTATTCCGCATTGGCTCAGCCTCAACTGCTTTTAATGAAAAATGTGCAGGACTGAACACACACACTCATTTACCCTTTCCCTCTGCTAATTCGTGGGCTAATTTAATCCGTCTGCAAGGGAACCTCAATGTGTTTTTACATTTTCGGTCATTTGAGGCATACCTGGCATGTGCTAGAAAAAGGACTTTTATATTATCTGCACGGTGCTGTTTATCTTTCCGATGCACTAGGATTTTCCACTATTACTCAGGACTTGGATCACTCCACCTGTCTTGTAACAGGACTGGTCTGTGTGAAATGGAAGGGGAAGGAGTCTCGGTAAAACTGGGCTAGCTCAGGAAGGAGGCCAATACTGTTTGTCCAGTGGATGAGGGAGACCGCAATAAGCAAGGGCCCCTGTGGCGGGGTCAGGTAAGTTCCTAGCAAGTTCTCGACAGCTCTCTGGAACCTGGAAGGGCACGAGAAGCAAAAAACAACATGGATTTCATCTGGTTTTGTCTCTTATTTCCTGCCTTGCAAGAGAGGTGAAAAATATGGAAGAACTCAAATTGCTTAAGTATTTGCAAAGAAAGAAGATGGGGTAATAAAGGTGATCGGAAGCATGACAAGGAACTGGTGTGGTATCTAATGACTATCTTCAGTTTTGTTCCTTTCATGGAACTGTGGTCCCATTTTTGTACACCAAGGTTCAAAACAAGGTGGAAATGTGGAAAGTGAGGGTGGATAAGAGATGAGAAAGACAGCAGGGCCTCTTACATGTGGTCAAAAACATCCCAAATAGAACGGCAGCTGCATTTCCAGGCAACATCTCCACCAACTGCGGAAAGGAGAAGGCACCTGTTTTGCTAAGGATTTCATCTAAGAATCACAGGGTAGAAAGAAGATTTCTGACATGGTATCTTGCTCAATGAAGGCAACTCAGAGTTAGAGTATTTCCAGTAGAACGACTTGTAGACCTTCAGTGAAGGAAAACCACTTCTGCAATAAGGAGGATTTTACAAAAGCCAGCTGCAAAAACCATATACAAAATAAAAGACCAATATATGGCTCCCGACATGTATCAAGATCAGTTTGTTTGAAGAGGGAAATTCTTCCGTGCTTGTAAAAGTTCCTAAGGAAGAACTCAGCACTGTCTCATGCCTGGCGAGGTAGTCTTGACACATTAGTAATTCTTTAGGATTTTTGAGAACCCACCAACCCTTTAGGTCAGGGTTAGGATTTTCCAACTGTTCTTACCATGGAAGAATTTCTCCTGGTGCTCAAGTGAAACCTACCCTTTTGTGACCCATGCATATCACACCTAGACCTGCATGTGTGGCAGAAAAGACTTTTGTGTGACTACCCTTCAGATATTTGAAGAATATCAGGTCCAGGGCCTGAGAGGTTTGGAGAGGGGGGCAGTCTCTTGGACACTGCAGGCTGTTCACCAGGAGTTGTTGTCATCAGACAAGAACAAGAGATGGAACAGGGTGTGTGAGGGAAAGGGCTTTTGAAGCTCCTTGAACAGCTCCTAGTGATGTTTCTCAGGCCAAGGGTGAGAATCAGCCTCTTTTGGAAAAGGAGGGAGGGCTTTCAGGAGGGGAGGGGAACAGGAATGAGATCCAGTCCTTGACCCAGTGAGAGAGGTGTCAGGAGAAACCAGCTTTCCCATTTGAGGGGCTTTCCCATTCACACCATCTTGCTTTCCAGCAGTGAGAGCCCCTTTGAGGGGGGTGCCAGAAACCTTACAGAAAGGAAGGGACTGCAAGGAAGTTTCCAGTCTGGATTCAGCTCTTTGCATGAGCAGAGGTGTCTCTTTTCAGCTTTGGTAGAAGGCTGTTTAGAGCGCCAACCCCATAAAAGGCAACTGCATTTTCAATGGACTGTTATGAATTTTGGAACCAGAGAAAAGGGAAGGGACCAGCTCATGACAGTCAAGCAGATGCATCCCCAGGGCAGGAGGACTGTGCTTCCTCACAAAGGACAGACCTAGCAAGCACAGGAATCTTGAACCTGACCATTGAGCCTCCTAGCAGCATGATGCGCTCCAGGGCTGGGCAAACCTGTAGCCCCGAACTTAATTTCCAAAGGCCTTTGCACAGCATCTGTTCCAAGTGCATCTCTCAGCAAGTTTCATGGGGTGAGGTTTGTCCAGATTGTGTACAGCCAGTCCTATCATCAGGCAGCAGTGGGTGCTGCCCCAGCGAGTTGGACTGGGGTGTTGTGAAAGAGCAGCACAACACTTGTTGCGAAGGAGAGATGGTGCTCTGGGATCCTTTGCTTCAGCTGTCCAAACAACTTGACCAGCTTTGGGATCGTAAGAAACTATTTTCTACACCTCAGATCAAATCTCAGCCTGCTGGATGCAAAATGCATTCTTCTGAGCATCACTTGATGCTCTGAAGCTTAAGTCTTGGGTCAACCCTGAAAACAGCAGTTCCCCATACTAACACGACCAGCAGCAGCAGCAAAAGCTAAAGTCTCCAGGTTGCAAACTCTGTGGAAGCAAATTTGGTCCCCTTCAAACCCACGAGAAGCTGTTTTCAATTTGAGGAAAAGCGAGGGTTTGCCGGGTGGTAAAAGGCATCATAAAACTCTAACGGCCGTATCGTATATCACACGTGTGACATGGAGCAAGCGGGGAATCCTGGCTGTGGAAGTGCAAATGGCTCCCATCCATTTCTGGCCTGTGATGTTGTCTCCGTGGGCCCTGCATTTTCTCAGCTCCCTGACACACACAGCTGCCTTCACATTTACACCTGCCATGGAGTCCTGAACATCTCTTCCACGCCGCTCTGTTTCTCATCGCTGTGCCATGCAGCTGTGGGGTTCTCTCCCTGAGAGGAAGCCCTAAGGAGCAAGGAAGTACTACCTTATCTCTCCGTATGGAAGTACTACTATGAAATTAGAGTGGTGATGAAATATATTTCCCCAGAGAGGCTTGGGAGATGGGATGGGGTTGAGCCAGAGAAGGTGTGAAAGTCAACCCTTCCTTTGGAAGTGGATTCCTCTGCATAATAGGATTTTCTCCTCTACCTAGATTTGCAAGCAACCTCATGGCACACGTCCTGCTGTGCATGATAAGAGAAAAAAGGGGAAAGAGAATCAGTGAAAGAGAATCCAGGTCTCTCTGTTTCAGGAGGAGCTGTGTTGGGTGGACCAAAGGCCTAGCTAGCCTAGCATTGAGTTCCTTACATATGCTTCAATCAGAAGCCTCTAAGAAGGTGAGAAAGAAAGAAAGAAAGAAAGAAAGAAAGAAAGAAAGAAAGAAAGACAGCTCCTGATTGGCCACAGAATAATGTAAATTCAAAGACCCATTGTCTCTGAACTTGCATTTTGCAACTTTGTCTCAAAACTTCCATTGAAGGATCTTCACTGCCCTTGACAGACCTCTGGCCTTGCCTTGCCTCACCCTCCATCAATTTCTTGCCTCTGCTTTGAAAGCCTGGATCCGAGACTCACCTCTGCATCCTAGCACAGCCTAGTCCATACATTGTCTAGGGTTTCATGAAAAGTAGGGATGAGTGAATCTGTCAGACTCTCTGCACCCAGGTTCACTCTCTTTCTCTTTCTCTCTCCCCAGTTCTGCATTCATTCCTTCTTATTTCTGCATCAGAGTTTGCACAAAAAAACCTGCACTGATTCTGTGCAGATTTTGTTTGGATTGGAAATAGGCAATTATTGTGTCCTCCTTAAGGTTCAAGTGTGGAAGGCCTCAGCCCGCTCCATTTTCCTTTTGTGAACTGCATTACACGCTTTCACAGTTATGAATTTCAATGGTAAAAACACATTCCAGTTCATGTTTAGGCACACAAGTGCAAATTCCATAAGTTCGTGTTGGCACACAAACTGGACACCTTTCTCACCCACCCCTAATGTAAAGTACTTCCCTCTGTCTGTCCAGAACCTGTCTGTCCCATCCTGAACCTCCTCTCTTTCACACACACCACCAAGGATCACTTTTCAATGATCGATTGCATTTTGCTCCTGGAAATGGTGCGTATCCTGGTGCAATTCTACACAAAACATGGGGTACTAAGACAAGGGAAAAGTGTGTGGGCTACCAATGTGTAAGAGCCTGGGCAAAGCCGTTTGGGCATGTTGCAAAAAGCTCTCACTCGTCTCCTCTGGGCCACCATTCAACTCATCCATCGCCAACATTTTGCCATCCAAAGAGGATGCAAAATGTATCTAGTCACATCTCTAATCAGTAAGAATTTGACGGATGGTGAGGCCTTCTCCGCATCCATGGATAAGAACATGAGAAGAGCCATAGCTGGACCAGAGCAAGATCGTCTCAGTCCAGAAATGGTTCCACCATGGCCCAAGTGGAGGCTCCTAGGAACCTAGGCATACATGCAATATCCACCTCGCGTGGTCAGTTCAGAGACATAGCCTAGACTCCAGAAACCTCCCCAAACTCAGTGCCACTCCGAAACCTTGGACTTCACCTCAGCCCAGCAAGCATGGGAAATGGTAAGGATTACAGGAGTCATCTTCTGGCAGGGGGCGAGGACATCACACCAGGGACCAGAGATGTACAGCCCCCGGTTCTGGAAGCAGCATGCCACAATCATGCATCGTGCATTTCCTGCATGGACGTGTTGTACCTGGGGCTCCCCTGATGAAGCTGACTGGTGGCTGCAGGGGCAGCAGCCGGGCGAACAGAGCCAGGCCAAAAACAACATCCCTGAAACCGCTCGGTGCGACGAGCCTGCCTTCAGCCCTTTTATGGACCGGCGTCCAATGTGCCACTTTTGAAACAAAGGCCCGGCATTGCAAGGCATCCCTCCCAGCCTGAATCGGGAGGCAGTTGCTTCCCACCTGTTGTCCCCAAGTGCTTTTGTCTGTATTCCTGGAATACATCTTCCACCCCGGCCTCCCCTCCCCCAGCCCTGGCTTCCTTTCCCATTTTTATTACCAGTTATTTCCCTGCTGCCCCGGCTACCTAATGAGCCCTCCAGGGATATGCAGGTATAAAATTCATTATGGCTGCCTCCAAGAGACAGCATCAATAAAGGAGGACAGCATGGGAGAAGGAGCTGCAACACTTTCAAGCCAGAGGTTTTCTTTCACAGTGAAGTAGAAAAAACACTTAAAAGCCTACAGTCCAGGAAAGAAAGGGTGAGAAACCAGCTTCCAATGCAGAGATAAGGAAGTTTTTATGTGCTGCGCTGGGCTAAAAAGTGAGCTGAAACACACGCGGAGTGACGGGAGGCCTGGAAGGGGGAGTCTGTTATTGCGGCGGGCCACCGACATTCACCCCCTCCCTCTCATTCTCTGAAAGAGGCCACGACAGAGGTGTACTTTCCAAACATATCTCACAGTTCAGGGTTCTTTCTTTCCATTTTCGGAACAGCCAGATCGCCATGAAGATGCTTGAAAGAAACTTAGCATTCTGAAGCAAGCTCAGGTATGGAAGTGAACCCTAAGAAACTCACGCACCTGTCCTGGGCAAAATGTAAGTGATCAGAGAATCCAGGGCTGGCAAGAGCTCTCATGCCAAGCTAGATGTACCAAAAAGGTTGTGCATTCATCTATTATATTTTTCAATTTGTCTGCAAGGCCACAGGGACAAGAAGGCTGAGTGGTGCCCATGAGGGTCTTTTAGGGACTGCAAGGGATTCAAGATCCCCCCTCCCAGAGAGATGTACTCTCAGCAGGCAGTATCAACTTCGGAATACCTCCTCCCAGTCACTGGGAAAGCCACCATGGCTGGTACTTGCCCAGTGCTGGGACTCCAAGAGTGGTAAATGGTAAAAGAGGTAGGAGGATGGCAGAGGGACCTGTATGTTGTAAGAATCAGATTCCCAGGCTCTTTGGGTCCTTCAGAGCATCTGGTATCAGAGCTCTGTCTACCAATGCCGGGACTCTCATTTGTGATCCCAGTATCCCCCTTTCCTTGCCAAGTTGGGTGCATGGAACATGGGAAGTGCTCCTCAGGCACGGTGGTGGGGAGCTCGCATTTCTCCACCAAATTGTATTTGCTCTTTGACTGACCTTAACCCGTGGAGGTTTCATCCAGTGCTGAATGTCTTGTAAGGTTTCATTGGCACGCAGTAGAACGGGCTCGCTGTGATGGTCGAGGCACAAGATGGTACATTCGGCTCCTTTGGAAAGCAAAAAAGGAGAGGGAAAAGAGCAAGTCACTCGTGAATCATTCAGCACCTTCATCGTTTCAGGTACACCCTCGCCCAACTGCAACTTGTCCATCAAGGACTGGCAGAATCGCCCAATCCAGCAGCCAGGTGCCAAATCCTGAATCCAGGAGCCAGGCAACACCAGAAACCAAGGGGCCCTCAGTAGGACCCCCAAGGACTCCAGCCTTCCAGGCATGTCCAGGTTGTCCGGTGAGAGGTGATGGAGAGATGGGGAAGGCCAGGCTGTGAGCCTTTCACTGAGGGGAAACACCCCTGGATGGACCATCAGACTGAATGACATTAGCAAGCTCCATAAACCTGGTGACCTTCAGGTGTTTTGGGCTTCAACCACCATCAGCCCCAGGCAGCAGAGGCAATGGGCAGGAATGCTATGAGCTATCATCTAAAAGCATCTGGAGGGCACCCAGTTGGGGAAGTCTGGGTTATTTCAACCAGCAGCCACCAAGAGGCCTACTTCCCCAGGGACTTGTCCAGGGTCCTGAAGGGACCACTGCTCTTGTTCGCTGCCATGTGGCCTTCACCTGACTGCAATCCGCTTTGCTCTGTCCCACTTCCCCAGGCCCCCGTCTCACTCGCTTTTTGGGGGCTCCTCTGCAGACTTGTGTCCTCACAGGACTGGACACAAGTCAAGCAAATTGCCCCTCACAGAGCCTAGCCTGACCAGCCGACCTCGGAGTCACCCTTGTCCCCTGCCACAGGGTGACCATTCTCTGTGCAAGATGGAAGGGGACATGTGAGCATTGCAGAGGATGTCAACATATCCCCGCTCCTCCCGCTGCATCCTTCCCTCGAGCATCATATCCACATGGAACAACTGGTGTGTTTCTATGTGCCATTCAGCCCTCTTTGACCTACAGTGACCCTATGAACAAATACCCTCCAACCCTTGACAGCCCTGCTCAGTTTTTTTAAACCCAAAGCTGCAGCCGATCCTGGATGGACTTGATCTATCCCATTGTGGGTCTTCCTCCTCCTCTTCTACCTTCAACTTCCTCTCTACACCAGGGGGCAGGGATTGTCTTGGTAAACCAATCTGAGACCTTTCTGGCTAAAGGGCTGGGGGATATATACATTAGATAGATGGGAGAGAGAGAGCGAGAGAGAGAGAGAATGCCTTGTGTCTTTTGTGTAAATGAAAAGTAGAAGCAAAGGATCCAAATAAGCAAAGAAACATAAAGAACATTCCGGAGCTCCCCTTTATAAAGGAAAATGTTCCACAGACTTTTGAAAAGTCTTATTTGTGTCCCATTTCCATGCCTGCCGCCTTGGGCATGCTCAGAGGCTATCTAACCTCTTATGTGGACAGCACAGCAGTGACCTAATCCTCAGTGAGGTCATAAGTCTATGCAAGGAGCAAAGAGGCCTCATCTCTTGGAATGAACTTCCCTACGAAAAAGACCTAATCCCCAAACATAGAAAGTTAACATGTCAGGCAGCAGACTGGGCTTGAACAAGGTGTGCCTGAGGGTTTCATTTAGTCAGTATTCCAGAGTGAATCAACCTGAGCTGTAGCTCTTGGAATTATACGCATTTGTGTGTGTGTGTGTGGGGGGGGGTGTCATTCCCTGCTTGATTTTGCACGTCTCCAAAGTTTATGAAGCAGAATTAGTAATGCTTGGGATTGGAGTAGAGTTACTCTCTGAATTTCAAGGCACTCTGAATTCCGTGGTGCCATTGCCTGGCTCAATAAAACAGCAAGTTGGCAAAAGGGGCATTTTAGGATAAAGCATATTTAGAGGGGTGTCACTGAGACAAAATATGCCCAGCTCTTGGCAATTCATGGGAAAATATATTAAATGGACGTATCCCTAAATATGATGCAGTAAAGATGGCAGGTCAATCAGGACAAGGGGCAGAAAAGATGCATGAAGGAACACACGGAAAAGTGACGTGGGCCAGAAACAGACGGAGCTGTTCTCCTCGGGCATGGCTTTATTTGGGCTGGAGGTCAAGCTGTTTCAAGTGGAATTAGCCCCTTGTTCATGGCCTTTGTCTATGAGATACAATGCGAGCAGTGCAGTCCAATTGCTTGCGGGGGAAACACTCATTTATTCCAGCTAATGCTCCTGCTCTGCGGGAGCCCCCTTCCTTATTAAGATACACCAGGGTGTCCAGCAGTGATATTTCACAGCTTTTCCAAGGCACATCTCTTAAGCCCCGGGGTGATGTTGCATTGCATTTCCCCCTCTGGGAAATGACCCTCACAGTGTCACAGCTGCTACAAACACGTTGTTAAGAGGCCCTGAACTCTAAACTGTGTTGGGAAAAGGGAGCAGAAAGGCAGGGAATGTCTGCCTCTGGCTCAGAACTCACACCTTGCCTGGTGTGTGTCATTGCAGTCCAAAGTCTTCCGGTTATCCTTGAATGGATGAGCCAAATGGACAGACCTCTTGGTGTACAAAAATGAGTTTGGTGGCTGTCATTGTACTCTTTTTCTCCGGGAAGAAGCTACTTTCTCTGACACCAGAATCCCATTAAGTAGACAGAAGGTACTATATAGATATGCCTTACTGATTCAGTCCCGGAGGGTAGAAGATAGGCATGATATGAAGAGGGGAGAATGTCCGTCACTGCGCAATTTCTCCTTCTGTTGGCTATTAGGTCTTGTCCAATACAATCTCCGGCCTAAAAGGGTTTTAGGGTTTTTTCAGGACGGCTGTCTTGATTGTTGCAGCCGTTCCACTGGAGGTTTGCCTGGCACCTCCCCGATGGCCCTCTCTGAGAGCTAGTTTATCCTTTTTTCAGGAACCAATTTATCCTCTGAAACTGACCATATCACGAGCCGGCCTGACTCCTTGAAGAAGACCATCATGCTAGGGAAAGTCAAAGCTAGAAGGAAAGGAAGACCAACTAAGAGATGGATGGACTCCATCAGGGAAGCCACGGCCTTGGAGCTGAGCAGGGCTGCCATGGGGAGCACAATTTGGGGGGTTCCATTCATAGGGTCGCCATGGGTCAGGGATGACTTGGCAGCACATGACAACAACCGAAACTGACATACAGGTTTGTTTTTGGAGGGAGCAATTTTGCTATTGATAAAATTACTGTTCATACCATCAATAGGAAGAATTATTAGTATTACTAGCATTCTACTGAATAAATCTTTGTTTACATGTTAATGTGCATTGTGCTTTCCTTTGGGAAAGTCGCCTTGCCTCAGTGAAGTACACACTCCCTGTGGCAAAACCGTCCCCTTCATATCTATCCATTCATCTGGGCTTCCTTCCTCCTTGGCTTTCCTTTAATCATTTGGAAACCTGCAGCATGGGCTGGCCAAACCTTCACCTAGTGCGTAGCAACATAAAGCTGCAATCCAACTGTGCTTGCCAGGGAATAAATGCAACTGAACTCAGGAAGCCTTACTTCGGAGTAGGAACAGGTCTATCATTTGTTTCCATTCATTTTCTGCTTTTATCAGAACTTAATGGGTCTGCTTTTTTGGACCAAACTGTGGACGTAAGGGGGCAGGTGGGTAGAGCTTGCATCCACACCTTTGGTCATGGCAGAAACTTGGGTAGAAGGAAGACCCAGAGTCAAGTTGATCCTCAGCCATAAAGCTTACCAGGTCACAGCATAATCCATTTGATGGGGCCTATTATCCAGAAAGCAGGAATATAGGATTGCAACCTTAATTGTGCTCACCTGCCTAGAGAGGTGGTGGGCTTGCCCATACTGGAGACACTCAAAAAGAAACTGGGCAGCCCTCTGAGTGGGATGGCGTGACCTGGTGTCCTGCAACAGCAGGGGGCTGGACTGGATGGCCTTCATGGCCCCTTCCAACTCTACTATTCTAGGAATCTAGAATCTTTGAATCTATGATTCTACGACCGTGCTTTCTAGCATTACCACGAGGGTAAAATGAGATAAGAATTATAAATGTCCCTCATGGGAAAAGCAGATAACAAAACAACACCTGGTGTGACTCTGTTGTTAAGAATGGTTTCCACTGCAGCTCCACTGCAAAATTGGGAGCCAGCATTCTACATGCCTGCGCCACCCCCGCCCCGCCCCCAGCTGCCTCTGAAAAACAAGAAGCACGTCCCTTGAACGATGCTGCAAGGCCCGGCAGGTATCTAAAGGTCACTGCATCTCCAGGGGTAAAGCACATCATCAGGCCGAAGGATGCTGCCACTCTCGCTGCTCCCCAGCAGTGCAATTTACACTTCAGCAGAAGAGCGGGCCAGAACTGTTTTGATATACGATCCATAATTGGCATCATTACAGAGCGGTGAGCTCATCCAGTTCACGTCCTGCTCCCCCTCGGGATGGGTGCGAAGCGACTGCCGGTGCCTCACAATGGCGTATAATGAGAGATCGGCGAGGGAGGGGGTTGCGTCCCAGGGAGTTCAAAAGGACAGATAAGGCGAGGGGGAGACGTGGGGAGGGGGAAGGCACACACATGGACACGCGCACAGCCTGGTCTGAACCTCTCCCCTCCGTGGTCCCCTGCCGAATGGGTTTCCTAAAGCCCTGGACAAAGCAGCTTGCGGCTGCAGCAGCAGCAGCAGCTCGTGGTCCCTGGCCAGAGCTCAGCATCTCCAGGAAGTGCTGAGAAATGCCTGGAGCCTGGAGGTTTGCGATCTTTCCAGAGCACTGAGCTGTGGGCACTGAAGGGTCTGACTAGGGTATGGGCAGCTTAGTGCAGAACTGGAAGGGGTCCTGGAGACCTCTCCGTCCAACCTCCTGGGGTCGGGGAAGGCATTGCTGCAGCATCCCTGAAGGGCATCTGTCCAGCCTCTGCCGAAATTTCTCTCGTGAAGGAGAAACCCCTTCACCTTAAGGCCTACGTTCCATGGCTGAACAGCTCTTGTTGTTAGTACTCGGTAGGATTCCCTGAGTGTGCATCCTGCTACGGGAGTCAGGGCAAGCTATTGCTGAAGTGGAACCAATTCAGTGGCACCAGTTCCCTGTAGCATCACCATCTACACCGTCCTATACCTTTTACACTGGCTGCCAATTGAAGCCCAGTTTAAGGTGCTGGTGATGACGTATCAGGCCCTAAACAGCTTGGGTCCTGGATACCTGAAGGAGCACCTCCTTCCCTATGTGCCTGACCGCCCCTTGAGATCTGAGGCAGAGGTCCTTCTCCGGGAGCCCTCCTTGAAGGAACTTAGGAGGGTAATACCTTCCTCTCCCCTTCCAACTCTACTATTCTATGATTCTACAATACTATGACTTTGCTTTCCAGCGTTATTATGAGGGGGAGAGGAGAGGAGAGGAGAGGAGAGGAGAGGAGAGGAGAGGAGAGGAGAGGAGGGCCAGGAACACAAGTCATCTTGACATAATGGTCCTACATCATACATTTTCAAGAGGTATGGTGCTAAAAATGGATGAACTTACTCTTTTGTTTCAGACCTCAGGGCAAAGTGGCCCCAAGGAATCCCTGCCATTCCCCCATCTTTCCCAACCCAACAAGTCCTTCAGCTTTTGCCAGAGCCTGTGCACAGTACCTATGCCATATCCATCCGGACACTGCAGCTTTAGACCGCTGTTCAGTTGACTGGGAAGGGTGCATTGGCCCTGCATCCCTCTGCAGAGGTGGAATGAGCCGCTCCAGCTGCCGTCCTTCCGGCAATGAATCACGTTGTTTCCATGCTCCTGGCAAGAGGAAGCAGAAAGAGGGCTGAGGCAGAAGAAACCCTCGCATTTCTGATGTTCGGGCTGTGAGCGATATCATTGGCAAAGCCAAAATGGCCAGCCATGCACAAGAGGGAGAGAGCGACTGCCTCTTGGGATCTCGAAAGTCTGCAGAAATACCTAAAAGCTTTTCAGGTAAGAAAGCTGGGTCTCCTGTCAGCACAAATCAAAGCTTGTCTTGGTCCTTGGGACACCTTAGCCATGTCCCTGCATCCCAGGATGAAGGCAGGCTAAGTGTCGTTCCCCCCGACCCCAGAAGAAAGTCTATGGCACTGAGCTTGCCAGAGAATTTTCTTCTGTCCATGTGTGGTATTATCTGTGTGTGTGTGTGTGTGGGGGGGATCATTCACTGTATATTTGAACACAGTTAAATAATTTTGCTCTTTCAACCCACAACGCAAACCAAAACGGTTAGCCTTCCACATCTTGCAGTCTTCTGAATGTCACAACAGTTTTCCAATGAAAAATGTATATGATAGAGAACACGACATAGAAAATGCCAGGGTTCTGGGTGCGGGGGAGGACACAAAAATGAAAAAAACTTCATGTAAGATGTTGTTGTTGATTATAAATAGCAAAGTTTGGGACACACTGAACCGAAGCTGGAAAAATGAGAAACTGGGAGAAACAGAAATTGATGGATTCATCCAGCCAAACTTAGAGTAGAGCTGTTGAACTTAATAGGGATTACATCAGTCATGATTATCTTAAGTTCCACTGATGTCAATGGTGTATTCTACGGATGACTAAGTCTCAATCCAACCCCTCATCAACATACATTCTTCCAGCTCCAATATCAATTTGCTAAAGTGCAACATTATGAGAAGGAATCCATCTAAAGCACTGAAATAAATTCTCTGCAGCACAGCAGCCTATTAACCAAAGCTATTAAGGGTCGCACCCTCGTAAGGTCCACCAAAGTCCACGGAGCTGCAACGCCACCTCCTTCTGCCAAAGAGAAGACGATTAGAACCCCTTAATGGTTTAACTCTCTTTGCTAGCCAGGGAAAAAAGGGACGCCAGTGAGACTGAAGTGCAAGTTTGAGTGCCAAGGTACATATCATATAAAGTTAACAACTGCATGATATAAATGCCTCACAGCCAAGCTAATGTCTCCCCTATATAAGAGCAGGCTAAAAAAAAATGTCACCCAGTGATGCCTTAATTCAAGGCTGGGGCCGTGTGGTGTTTTATGTGTCTTTTTGGAAGAAGGTGTGTTTATGTAGGTGACCATGCACCTTGAGCCCATCTATTTCATTCCCAAAATCGGAGCTTTTATTTGCTGTCATTCCTCCCAGAAACCCACCCTCTGCACAGCAAGGAGGGGTGCAGCCACTGTAAAATCAGGAACGGTGTGTGAGGTTTTGGATTTTCCTACTCTGCTGTGTTTATGGCTTCCCAGGTTTGGGGAGACTCCCCACTTGGAACGAGGGTAACAGAGCTTTCCAGTCTGACATCAGACCTGAAACAGCCTCAAGCTGGTGACAAGCACAGTCCTGATACATCAGCGGGAGTTTTCCCCACTGATCTCAAAGCCCAACATGAACAGGTTTCTTCAGAGGCAGCCAGAAAGCCCCCAAGCCCTGGGCAGGCCACCTTCGCCAAAACACACCAGGGTGTGGGCCGGGGAGCAGACAGAGCCCGACAGAGCAGAACCCAGTGGAGCTGAAAACTGACGGGTGTAGATTGATCTGCGACAGCTTTACACAGACCCCATGCCAGGTTCCTGGTTGTAGGTGTGGGGAGAGAATGCGCCAGTCACTGGTTTCATAGGTACATACGCAGGGGGTCTGGTACTCTGTGCCACTCTGGGCAGCCTGGCTCGGAACGGATATCATAGGAGGTAGAACAGAGGAAGAGGGTGGGGTGCGTCCCATGATGGAAGGGCAGGAAATTCACCCATCGGCACAGTCAGGATGGCTCAGTGGAACCTGCACATCTGGACACAGTGTATTTTAGGACAATAGGGATGTACAGACACTGGAGGGAGAGCCTTGGTTGTGACCCTCCCAGAGTTATTTGGTTGGACCCAGTGGGGATTTCCACAGCTTTCATACCTTGCTTGAGGGTCGCCCAAAATGTTCTGGCTGGGTATTGTGGGGGAACTGATTCCTAGCCTGGAGCCGACCAGATGTGCTAGACTAGTATGTAGATATGAGATATGATTAACGCTTGTAGAGCAGACTGGACCGGATAGACCTTTTGTCTAATCCAGCAGGTGGGTGGGATTAATCCTACAATACTGAATGTTCATTCGCAGATATTTAAGTAGACAAAACAGACCCCAAAGAGCAAAGGGATGTATTTCCAGTGTCAAGTCCACAGGGCCGGGAGAGAACTGCGAGATTTGCAGAACTGCAAAATTGCAGAAACCAGTTGTAAAGATGGTGTGAGTGGGAAGAAATGTACTTCATGAAGTGGATGTGGATTGCTGAAAGACTGCTAAGGTGTGGAGAACTGCCTCTCGGGGTGCAGGGGAATGGAATTCCCTGGAAAGTGCATCTCTGGATGGCTGGACCCTGCCACATTTCGCTGTGGGTCCCACTTTTAAAGTCTAGGTATCACCACCTCTCTATTCCTATTCCTGTATTTTCTCTCTCTTTCCTATCTGTAAGAGAATCTTCTGTACCCGTCTACTGTGTGTGTAGGTGGCGGCGGTGGGGACAGTCTTAGGACAGATAAGCACCCAACACTGCCAGGCAAACCTCTTAAAAGAGTTTCCTGGGCCAACCATGCTTTCTGCACCTATCTGTGCGAGTAGACATAGAAGAAAAGACGCAAGTAGCAGTTGTCACATGAGACAACAGCATGGGTTCCCATTGACCTTGGGGGTCACAACAATGGGAAAGCTCCTTTAGACATTGGCATTGTGTGGATTAGTTGGATTGACTCCATAAAGGAGCCTGGGATTTACAAGAGCTAAGCAGGGCTGCCATGGGTGAGACCTTTGGAAGTCTTTCATTCATAGTCTTGCCACAAGTTGGAGACAACAACAGCAACAAGCTCACAGGAATTTATGAGTCACTCATAAATTGATTCAGATAATGGGCAAGTTGCACCGGGCATGGTCTACCATTCAGACAGCCGTTCTCCGGGTCTTTCTCAGTCCCACCTGGAGATGACTGGACCCTGGACCTTTGACATGCCAAGCATTTATTCTACTACTGTCATTTATTCAGTTAATGGATTTATACGCTGCTACAACCCTGATGCTGGGAACAATCGAGGGCAAAAGAAGAAGGGGATGGCAGAGGATGAGGTGGCTGGATGGGCTCACTGGGGCGGTGAATGCAAGCTTGGGTGGATTCCCAGGGATGGTGGAGGACAGGAGAGCCTGGAGGAATGTTGTCCATGGGGTCGCGATGGGTCAGACACAACTTTGCAAATAACTGGAAACAACAGCCCTATCTGGGCTCTCTGTGAAGCTCAGAATGTAACACTGACCCTGTCAGTGCTAACAGTAAGGTAAGAATCTAGATAAAGCCTTGTAACACAATCTAAATAAAGGGTTGGATTAAATGGAAACATAAACATCCGCACACTGCTGCTAAACCATGTACAGTTCCTGTCTTGGGACTCACTGATTGAGCGTCATCCTCTTCGCAGTTGATTCTGCACTCGCTGTTGAACTGAAAATCATTGGTGCATTGGTACAGCCCATGGAATTTGGAGGGTGGAGGTTCGCAAGTGACGGGGATGCAGGCTCCTCCAAGCCAAGTCCCGTCTTTTGCACACTGCATCTTAAAGGCCCTCCTTTGAAAGAGAGAGAGAGAGAGAGAATGAGAGAGAGTTTATTTATTTAAAAAGTGGCCTGCCATCTGTCCTGTTTTTCCAAGTTACCTTTGCATCAGATCTTCACACCTCCATTGCTTATGGATCAGGTTTGTGGATCTTTAGGTCATGTGGTCTCCCAGTGAAAACAGTCATTATTTGTGCAGTTCTAAAGGCACAAGTCCCCACCCCTCGCTTTGAAAAGCAGTCGCTCCAGAGTCTCCAAGGCTTTGCAGCCAATGGACATTTTTGATGTGGCGGGGCTTCTTTCCCCTCCTTGCACGGAGTCATAAAATGTAGGATACCAGTAAACTTTTCCCACCGAGGTTCAAAGAGGACTCCCCAGGTCGCCTATCAAAGAGGGGATTTTCCAAAGGGAGGCCTGTAAGCACAAGAGCCAGTTCCTGAATGAAAGGGCTTAGAGATGCAGAACAAGTGAAGGAACTTAACAGCCTATGTCTCCCATAAAGAAGTAGGTACCAAATTGCCGGAGGTGTGATCTATTCTCATGCAAACTCCACTGGAAAACCCAGGTGGCACAAAAAGGATTTCTCCGTGTGTCCTGAGGCTTTTATATTTAAGAATCCTGGCATTAGATGCGTAAATCCGTCCCCTTTAACAGCTCCAATCCTTTCCCTTGCTATTCTTTATGCCTGGATCTCCCACTCAGAGCATCCCTGTAGTGCCAGTCCTCTCCAGTCCTTCTATTGTCTTGTTCTCCTAAACCCAGATGTAGGAGGTGCATGTGGGTCTGGCTTGTGCCGTTTCAGACAGTGGGGCCAGGAAGTTTCCACCATGGCAATTAAATATATGAACCCCTCATGTAGAAAACTAGCACACCGGGAAAAGGCTAGGTCAGGAATGTTCTCCCTGACAGGCTAGCTTTCTGTGTGCAGGGACACACACAGAGAGAGCGTGGGGAGCATCTCATCATATGCGTTTCTGCCTGCAGAGCCCAGGTAGACCTTCAGTTCATTTCTCTAACATGAACTAATTTTACACCTTGGGAAGCCAGGCCCTAATTCAACATCAGAGGAAATGTTTTGCAATCAGAAAGCTCCAGGTTCAATTCCTAGCATCCTCAGCTACACAATCAGGTCATGGGAGGCAGAAAAGCTTTCTTGAGACCCTGAAGAATCCCTATCGATTTTGCAGTCCTTGGTTGTCTGAACTGACAGAGACTGATCTGCTGGCATAGTTTGACTCTCGGAAAGAACTAGGAATGAACACCAAAACACTGAGAATCACAGCAGGACTAAGTGCTGGGGTGCGGCCCTGGTTAGTGCAGCCCTCCCCAACCTCGCTCCCTCCCAGCACTGGGGACTTGAACTCCCATGAGCCCCAGCTAGTCACTGGTCAGGAATGCCCGCAGTTTTGAGGAGACAGAATAACCGCATCCAGACATCTGGCCAGCCGTGATGGCCACTGAGCAACCTCGGGCCTGCTTCAGCCCTCCGCTCCCAGGACTATGGAGAAGACAAACTAGGAAGGGTCAATGGATTTAGCTTAGACCAGTAACTCTCACTTTTCTGTGAAGGAATTCAGAGGGGCATACCATGGCTCCCCCATCCCTTTTCTCTCTCCCCAACAACCCTGTGACACAGGGATGGCTGCAGGGCCAAAGCTAAGCGGTGAGCTTCACAGCCAGGTAGTGGCTTGTCCCTGGGTCTTTCCAACTCAACCTGGCCTCCCCTGGCTGATGACCTCGAGGGGTCTTGGACTGCAGCCCTGTCAGATATGGTGGCTGGGGCTGATAGGAGTTGCAGTCTGACACCCCTGGAGGGCACCAGCGTTGGGAAGGCCATTCTGACCGGTATGTCCCATGCCTCCCCAGAAGCCTCCCACAGAAGAGGCTGTGCTGGCCGCACTTACTTCCGTGCCTTGCGGGAAGCTCCTGGGATGTAGTAGCCCGGTTTACATTTGTACTTGCAGAAAGAGCCCACTTTGTGCTTGGCTTCCCGGCAGCGGGCAGTTTGGAGCTCTGCGTTGGGGACCTCTGGAGGGGCCTGGCACATCAGTTCACAGAGAGCCTCGGGGAAAGACCACAGTCCATCTTCCAGACACTCCAGGTTATTGTTGCTGCCTGGAAGGACAGAAGGAAGGTGAGTTGGTGCAAGCAGCTAAACATGCCCAGTGGGTGAGCCTACAGCTCTGTTGTCTAGAAATGCTTTTGAACATCTCTCCAGTCCAAGCTTCTCCTGGAATTTCAGAGCCCAAATTGCCTGGGCTTGTTTCCAACCTAAAAGTAATGCTCTGTGAGCTTTCTGATTCTTCTTTCTCTAGAAAAAAACCTCGGAGTACTTATGGACAATAGGCTAAACATGAGCCACCAATGAAATGCAGCCGCCAAAAGGGCAGAAGCTATTTTGAGATGCATTAAAGGAAGTATTACTTCAAAATCATGAGGAGGAGGAGTTCCTCTTATACTCCTCAGAGCTCCCCTGGAATACTGTGTCCAGTTCTGGGCACCAAATTTTAAGAAAGATGCAGGTAAATTAGGATGCAGGTCCAGAGGAGGGTAACAAAAATGACATGATATCCCTCTAGAAGTACCTCCAAGGCTGTCACAAAGGGGAAGGTCAAGATCTCTTCTTGCTGATGCCAGAATGTGGGACACGGAATAATTAACTCCAATTGCGACAACCCAGGTTCAGGCTGGACAGCAGGAAAAGCTTCCTCACTGTCAGAGTAATGGGACAATGGAACCAGCTGCCTGGAGAGGTACTGGGCTCTCCCACACTGGAGACATTCAAGGAGAAACTGGGCAGCCCTCTGAGTGGGATGGTGTAACTTGGTGTCCTGCAACAGTAGGGGGTTGGACTCGATGGCCTTCATGGCCCGTTCCAACTCTACTATTTTATGTTTCTATGATTCTCTCTCTTTCTCTCACTCACTCACTCTCGCACCTTCAGTTTTGCATTCTTTTAAAGCACATAGAAACAGAGCGAGTCAGAAGGGGCCTCCTGGGCCATCTAGTCTGACCCCTGGCTCCAGCCAGCTCCACGCATGACGTGCCCACCATGTGCATGTCCAGCCTATCCTTGAGCAACGTTTGCATCAAAGTCCACGCAAGGCAGGGATGCGAAAGGGCTAAATTAAGTTTCAGAGAAGCTCTTGGGGCTGAGGACAGGGATGCAGACAAAAGGAATGGGACAAATCTACCACCGTAATCCACGTGATAGAAACTTGATGGGTCATGGTGAGTTTGGTGCGCTCCCACACATCTGTAACACAAAAGCAAGTCCCCCACCTCTGCTGTCCCCTTGATGTATTGGACTACAACTTTACCATCCCTAGCCTGAGATTTCCTTGCTATACTTACACCCCACCATTTTCCTTCCAAGGAACACAAGGTGGCTTCCACAATTGTCCTCCTCCAGCCCATCTTATCTGCATAACAAAAACCCTGTGAGGTAGGGCAGACTGAGAGTGCGGCCCACCCAGTGAGCTCCACAGCTGAGTGAGGACAAGAACACAGAGTGGCTGAGCCCTGCACCCTGAACCACGGCACCTCGCCAACTCTCTTACGTCAGCGCCTGCTCAAGCTCCTTGAAAGAAAAAAGGTAGAATTTATTTATTTGATTTATATCCTGCTTTTTTCTTATAGCAAACTCAAAGCAGCTTACATCCTTCCCCTCTTGCTGCTCTCCATCTTATCCCCGCTGCGGCGACCCTGTGACTGTGCCTGCTCCCAAATCGCCCGGTGGGTTCCATGGCTGGGTGGGGACTAGAACCCGGATCGTCTGAGTCTAGCCCTCCACGCTTAACCAGTGCAGTACACTGGCTCTCCCAGTTAGGCCTGACGTTTGTAATGGACGGAGACTAGAACACTAAGGCTTCATGGAAAGCTCACCGTCAGCCTTTGGCAAAAAAATAAGAGGGATTAGGCGAAGCCATGTAAAACACCCACACCCAGACATGGTAGGCATAAGAATTGCCAGTGTGATAAAAAGAGCAGAAACCACACTGGGTCATCTAGACCTAAAGCGGGACCTGACCACCTCGAAAGTCATTTTTCCTGAGGATCCAGTCTGGCCCTGTGGGGTTCCTCCAGCTACTGATCATTTGGTGACTTTCTGAGCCAGTAGAAGGTACTATGTTGAGGGAAAGTGATGAAAAAGAAAGAGTAAAGAGCAAATGCGTGGTAAAGAACACACAGAAACAGGTTTTCTGTCTGGCTTTGCAAATGGGGCAAGACAATCCAGGTGTCCCCAAACTGCTGATTCCAATGGCCTCTAGTGATGGTCCGTTTCTCCCAGTTTCCCTGTCCTAATTTTGTTCCATCCCATTTTTGCATCAGTTTGGATTTCAAAGAGGAAGAAAGAAAACCAGTTGCACACAAAGTATGCATTTTAATCTCTGTTCCTCCTCAGATACACATCTCCAATAGCAATTTCTCCCTCAAGCACTGCATGTTGGTGTATTATCTTCATGCGTGCATGTTTCTGTAACATGTTTTTTTCCACCAGAGTAAAAGAAATCTCAAGGTACAGCTGCATTTCAGTCCATGTGTTGGCTTGAGATTGTGCGATGAGGTGAATTCCCGCCAAAACATGAACTGAACTCATGCCTGCCCCATCTCTACTTGAACCAGTTTATTGTCCTGTCTGTGTTCCAACTTTCATCCGGTGCTTCATTGTAATCTTTGCCCTTAAACGTCTCGATCTGGAGGGAGCTCTGTCTCTTTGGCAGGAAGCAGGGAGAACAGGAATCAAGGACAAGGTGGACACAGGGCTGTTTAGGAGCCTTGCCCTGCCCAGAGAGGAGAAAAAAAAGCAAGACAACCCATGGCTCTTTCTCTCCCTCCCTGCTGCCGTGAGCTGTATGCTTTCAGAAGCTTCATTCCTGTGTTGCCTGCTTTGTTTTCCCTTGTCTGACTCACACCGCATCTCCAAGGGTCCATCACAAATGATCTCATGCTTGCTACAATAACGGCGATGAACTGTGACATTAAAAAACAGTGGCTTGGGTGACATCAGCGATCGAATTAGGAGTGACTCATCCCCACCTCCCCATCTCAAGAAGCTTCTGGATGAGCCCACTTAGTCACTGCTTGTGATTTGGCTTCCAGTAGCTCTTTTTACCCCTTTGCTTTGACAGCTACTGTTGCGGGCTGCTGTAGCGTTCGAGATGTGAGCAACATGGATTTACAGGCGACTTGACGCTGCAAGAGCAGCTTCTCCCAACTGGACCAAACCGTATTCCTAGCTCAGGAGTGGCAAAACCCAAGGGAGGTTTCTCAGCCAGCCAACAAGATCCAGGAGGAGGTCTGAATTAAAATTCTGTTGACTCCGTGTGAATATGTAAACACACAGCTTGGAGCAGCTCTGCTCTTTCCAGGTCTTCTCCAATGCTCCGGGAGATACTCTCTCTCAGGGCAGCCAGGCAGCTGAATGGGTTGAACAGTTCCTGGCTTGATGAAAATAGCCCACCTCAGTGGTTCCTGTTGTCTTGTGAACCTACCAAACTCACAGGGAAGACAACTCTTCCATACCAGGCATAGGAGAATTTTTCTGGAAAGTGACTGCTACAATCAAAACGCACGTCCCTTTGCTTATCCTTCCACAGCAGCATCTATAGGAAGCCTTTTAATCAGCAGGTTAAAAACACTGAGAAGCATTTGAGTTTTGGCTTCCCTTCTCCATTGTTTGTGTGAACAATTCCAGCACCATGGCTGAATCCCTTCCCTTCGTTTAACCCTTAGTCTATAAGTCGACATGCCGCTACTGTACTGTAGACAAGAGTCTTAGACGGGGGACTCTCCGCTCTTGGACACTGAAGCTCTTGACATGATCTTGACCCACTCTTGGCAGGACGGGCCCCATCAGCAGGCTAAGTGAAGCAGTCCCCACAGGCACCAAGAAGGTCTCAACAAGGAGTTAGAGAAGAGAACTGGGGGTACCACAGGACCTAAGTTGCTGATTTCAGTGGAAGACACATGGCAACACCTTTCCTATTGGTGGTCCTGTTCTGTTCCTGAAGAAGGAGTCACCTGCTCTCCAAGGTGAGCCTTGTACAAGCAGTCCATGCAGGCACCATGTCTCAAGCAGAAACGCCTCTGATGCTAATCCTGACTTTCTGCCTAACTCTCTTTACAAGGTTGTTGTGAGGACCACACACACAGGAGCATCAACACAAGTTCCTAGGAGAACTGCCAGGATGAAGGTAATTCAGGACGAGTTCAGCTTTCCAGCAGTGGCAGCACAGAAGCAAAACCAAGAGCGCATGATAACTTGACATACCATTCAGCAGCCAAAACTTTGGCATTGACGTGTGGAAGCCTATGTTTTGCTAAACCCAGCTTTTTGCTCTTAGGACTGTCTTGCTCTGGTTGCAGTCACAAGCAGAACCCTGAAAGGAGCCCAAGGGCACGAGCAGTCTAGCAGATGGCTTGCAACGAGATGCTTCGGGGAAGCCCATGAGCAAAGGCAGGAGGCACCAGCTGAACCCACCATGACGTTCTCCCTCCCATCATGTAAGCTGAAGGCATGAGCAGCTCGCTGCTGTTTGCTGAGTCAGGCCCACAACCTACCTTGCTCTGTACCATCTACCTTGCTCGTCAGCTGTTTACTCATCCTCATGCTGGGACTTGCCAAAGACTCCCATGGTGAAGTCATGGCTGAACTGAATTGTTAGAATCACAGGAACCTCTGCTTCATGTCAAGTCAGGCTATTTGTCTGTCTAGTTACACCTTGTCTACCTGCAAATAGCAATCATTCTCAAGGAAGCAAACCCACTGTACCTGAGCAATGGGCCAGGTCCCCTCCCATAAATTAAGTGCCTTCAGCTGAAAACTTAGTCAAACTTAATGCCCTTAGTCACTGGACCCAGAGTAACACTAAATCCTTCCTCTTATGAAACTTTCAATGCACAGTTTCAGTTACATTCCACCTCTCCCTTGCTGGGTTTCTTCCTCCACCTGAGATGTTCCAATGAGGGAAAGGGCAAACTCCCCAGGTCCCCATGAGGTGGGTTGGGCTGAAACCCAGCAACATGGTCTCACGCGCCCACTGAGCTTCAAGTTTGAAAGGGGAGTAGGATCTAAGCCAACAGCATTCAGACCCAGTGCTCCAGCCACTGGTTTCCCAACCATCTGGGTTTTCTGGCTGCCTGGGTCTCACAAGGAACAGGCTCCAATTGAGTTCTGGCAGGATGAGAAGCATGCAGCATCATCCAAGGTGGGGCAGGATCGGGCCAAGTTCTGACAGAAGCAACTGACCATAAGATGGACTCAAGAGACGTGTGATTCATGGCAGGAAGAAGGCTGAGTCCCATAGGCAGAAGTGTGGGGGAATGGGCCAAGTGCTAACCTGGCATAGTCCTCTCCTGATCCCAGGCTGCACGGTAGATGGGAGCTCATTCACACAACATGACAAGCAATCCTGCATGCTCACCATGGTCCCCCCCACCCCACCATGATGGACCAAACAAGCAATGGAGTCATTTCTACTGCATTATGCTTCCCAACCTCCCCACTCAGTGTTCCCATTTTTGGTATGTATCCCACCACCTACAGTGCCTGAAATCCAATCCCAAGTTTCATCACCCTCTGTCTACATCATCTGCCTCTTTCTCATCGGTCCACACATAGAAGCTGGGTGGACAGAGAGGCTCCTACAGCTGACACTCTTTCCAGAGGACTCCGTGGTAGTTGTACACCAGGGCCATGAAAAGCTTGATTCAGAGTCCCAACAACATAACAAGCCACAGTGGCTCAGAGAAACCATAGAACAAACCACCGCTCCTTATCAAGGTTTCTAAAGACCAACCTTACCATGGTAAAGACCGAAGTATCATGACTGGGTTGAGACAACACAACTGACCAACAGAGCACCATGGCATGCTGCGTTGTCCTACCCAGCCTGTGAGTCTGGGGCTATCCAAAGTCTGGTGGGCAAGAATCTTTGGTAGATCTTTAGCATATCTACCAAAGCATTATTACCGTTCGTACTGTTCTGCAGTGTTCCTGGGCTGCAGGTACGGGGATCGCTTTGATGAGTACCTGGCCTTCCAACCTTGACACCACCGCTCACAGTTTCACAAGCCGCAAAGCAGAACAATCCTGTCTGCATTCCTGAGCAGGACCTTCCAGCTTACCTTTCAGCTGGGCTGGAGGCTTGCAGGTGAAGGAGCATCTCTTGCCGAAGGTGGTGCCTTCGTTGCAGGTGAAGGTGGCTGGATGGACGTGATATTGATCAGGGAATCCACAGTCAACGGGCTCACAAGAAACCTGCTTGTCCCACTTCCCATCCACACATGTCATGGTGATGCTGGCCTCCCACTGAAAAGGAAGCGAGGAAGCATTAAGAGACAAAAAGAACATGGTAGCTACAGGTTGATTCCTGGGTTGCATCCCACACATCTGTAGAACTAGCTTGAGATCACAGTACTTGGCCTCGTGACTTTCTGGAGGCAGCACTCCATCATGCCCAAATTCCCCTTCCCACTGACAAATTAGCATGGGATGCAGGGAACGGATGAATAAGCCTCACACAAGTAAAGATTAAATCTACGGCCCTTCTGGCCACATCCATTTCAGTTCCAAATGCCTCCCAAACCCAGTAAGCCTCCTGGTTTTCCAGTCTGACATCTGTAGAAGTTAAGAACCTCTTCTACTTCGGACCTCTATCCTCTGTAGAAGGCCTGCAGGCTAGGAAGCTTTAATGGACACCACCAGGTATCTATTAATTGTATGGTTTGTCTGTATTTACAATACTACTAAACTCTCTTCAGCCCGCAAAAGTGCTGTACTAAGGTAGGGATAAAAATGAAATGAAGGTTATGCAATGCTGGATAATTGGCTTCTGTCCAACAGACTTCCTCATTGTTTCTGATCTGAACATCAGAAATGGGCTGTTCCCTTTCTTTCGTTCTTTCGTTCTTTCTTTCTTTTTCCAGAAAAGAGATGAGCACATAATGATTATGTGCATTGAGATCTCCATATTTGTGGAGACATTTACACAAAGTGATTTGTGCAAATGGGGTCTTTTGCCATTTTTAAATATTGTATTGCATCTGCAAGTCCATTATGTAATGCCAGGCACAGCATGTTTCCCGGGTAAATATCCTTGTGCATTTCATCTTTTCGCTGCTTTCACCTCTTCTTACTACTTAGCTGGCCACACTCCATACTTCAGAAATAACTTGCCGTTGTTAATTTCCTCTCATTCAGCATCAGCAAAATGGTTTTCCACCAGAGTCAAATGATTTGCATACATTAAACAGATGGATTTTAATTATTATTTTTAGTTATGATTTTTCAACTTCCCTGATTTCTGCAAATGGGTCTCTCTTCTGGTTCATTTTCCTTCACTCATTCTTCCCACCAATATCATTCATACTATAACTGATTTCTTTTCATAACATGTCCTGCCCCTCCATGTTTTGTGCAAATTTCAGATTCTATAATTTCTGCAAAATTCAGGCTCCCATATGTACATCGCTTTCCTGAGCTTTCTAAGCAAAACAAATTTCAGATTATACACTTTCTGCAAACTTCAGGCTCCACAATTTACATTCATTTCCCAAGCTTTCTAAGCAAAACAAATGCCAGACAAATCACAACCCGTTTTACCAACAGAAATGCTTGAGCCAACTGGAGAGCTTAGTTAGGAAAATCCATTAGATTTTCACCCCCTCAGTGGCTTCCTTGCACATCCCTAAATGCAACACAATGGAACCACACAGTACCAGCAATTTAGAACAACAAGAGACAATGCAAACCACAAAACAGGCGCAGCAAACATTAACATTTAAAATGTCCTGGAATTTCCCCCGCCTTAAGTCAATCTGGTATGGAATGGATTATAATCCCCATTTACATTTTGGGGGAGAGTGTTTCAAAGTTGTACTGCCACTACAGAAAACCCCTTTCCTTTATAAAGGCGTTTCTATATCTCCTCTATTTAAGGCAGAATTCCCAGTCCTGGACCTTTCCATCTGGGTTAAAACTACAGCCCCTACAATGCCACTTGGGAGCCGACGGGGATGACTAACCCAGAGGGGTGGTTTGAAACACCTCCCAGCATGAGGGGCAAATTCACCTGTGGGTGAGCCCTTGGGAGAGGCATCCCAGTGCTGGGTGGGGTCCGAGGAGGATGGAGCAGGGCCAAACCCAGCAAGCTACTCAGCAAAAAACTCAACGATGCCCTCGCAGGGGCAATTCAACCTTCTAGGAAGGGGAAACACTGCGCATCAGTTGGTGAACCACCCAAAAACTGGATGTCGGGATGAAAGGGCAAGAGCTGCAGGGGGATTGTCCCTTTGCTTGTGCATCGCAAAGGGACAATCAAGGCGTTTTCCTGATAAGCCACACTGCGCTTTCCTTTGTGAAGAGCCAAGCATGTGGGAAGTGCTGGACTGAACAGGGCACCAAGTGAGTAAAAGCGAACACACGGGCAGCCAAGTGCTGCGGGACGAGGCACCCCTGCCAGGGTGGGGAGGGGGGATCTGATCCAGGGAGGGCAGAAGCGGTTGTCCAGTTGTGACAGGCGTCGGCGTACACTTATGCATGCGGGGGGGGGGATTTTCCAGCTCACATCAGAAGGCCTGGAATCCCCATTTCCAAGGCACCCTAATGCTTTCAGCAGGCTGGGGTTTGTCTGGCTTTGATATATGGCTGCTTGGGGGATGGAAAAAGCAGCCCCCGGTGCAACGTGGGGAAGGGTGTCTGCCTCCTCGAATGGGGCACCGCTTCCTCTGCCTCTCTGCCTTGCTGGCCATGGCTTTACAGCAAGGACTGCCTCCAGGAAACCAGTCCAGATGAAGGACTGGGAAAGGAGAGGGGATCCCTCATATTCCGCAAAAAGATCCAAGGGACTTGGGCTTCTTTTAGGAAGGGCCATGCTGAGTGTGAAGGAATGCCCATGGATTCGGTGCCTTGACCTGGATCCCAGTTGGGCATGTCAGAGAAGAGATGGCTTCTGCCTGGTCTGCCTTCTTTGGATCCCAAGCCCCAGTTGAAGCTCGGAAAACTGGGGCTTTGTGCATCCGTCTTTTCAATTGCTGTTACTGTTTGGTTCCCTGGCATCGCACTTCCGATCAGGTAAGGTTGTGCAATTATCAAGGGAAAGCAAACATGTGCTACATCTTTCTTCTCTCGGACAGAAGTGGATGATGGTTACAGGTGTACCTGCAAAGGCTCAGAAAAAAATAGCTGCAGGGGCTTGTGCAGTGCTTGAATGGGGGCGGGGGGGGCGGTTGGCTGGTCGACATATGAAAGCAGGGTTCTCATCCCCACTCAGCTGTGAAGCCCAGCAGGTGATTTTAAGCCAGTTAGACTCTGAGCCTAAACCATCTCACAGGGACGTTGTCACGAGGATTTAAACGCAATCTGATGATGATGATGATGATGATGATGATGATGATGATGATGATAACAGAGCAATAACCAAAACATATATTTTGTTTTTTTTTTTAAGTGAACTGCTGGTAACTGTTTCATTCCCTGAAAGACTTGGAGGAATTTGTAAGGGTAGTTGCCCTTTCTGTGTCCATCAAAACGACAGTGATTTGCATTCATTTGCATCTCCTCATCAACACGAGTGCCTTCTCCCTAGAAATTCATCCTGCTGCAGCAAGACACAGAACGGAGGGCCAGCGAGCACCGTGTGCCTCTGGGGAGCGACAGCTCCTGGGCGTCTTTACCTTTCCTCTGAGCATGGACAAGGCAGCCCTTCAGATGGAGAATTGCCCCCTGCAAAAGCAGCCGCGGGGCCACCCTGGATGCCTGGCTAATGCTATCCGGGCCGAAAATGCATTCCGGACAAGCCCCCGCGCCTTCCGTGTGGATGAGGCTCACTTTCCTGGCTGGCCGGCCAGCCGCCGCGTTCCCAAGGAGGCACGGCTTCCTCCACATGGCCTCCACAGTGCCTCTAATTGAACTCACATGAGGTCAGCCTTTTCTCTTCCCAGCATGATTGATGAAACCTTTACAGGGCATTAAGGAGCTGTCAGGTTTTAAATAGCACCTCTCGACCACAGCGGCAGCAGCAAAGGGAAACCCAGATGACACCGAGCGAGCGAGAGAGCGAGCGGGAGCTTTTTACTAAAGCAGGGGGTGGGGTGGGGGAGGAGGCGGCTGAGGAAGGGGAGTGTGTCCATGCAAGCATGAATGGAAGGATGGATGAATGAGAGAGGCAGAAGGAAAGGGACGATTTGCTCCAGAAGATTGTTGCTAACGGGGGAAGGTGCTATTTACTCTGCCCGTTATGCCTCTTTTCTGATTTTACTCTTGCCATATGGTATTTGGGCTTGAAAAAGACTTTGATGTCGAGCACCCTGGGATATTCTCTGGTGCTAAAGGAATGGCAGAGAAAGACAGACAAACAGACAGACAGACTGACAGACTGACTATTAGCCAGGATCAAAGCTCCATCAGTACATCCGAACAAACTGGAATGCCCCGGGAGTTGATCCCGGGGGGGGGGGGGGTTGAAGGTGGTACCTGCATGTGTGCCCCATATGAGCCAGTGTGGGGTGGAGGTTAAGAGTGTAGGACTAGGACTCAGGAGAGCTGGACCCTCTGTGGTCTGAAGCCCACTTTGGGCCAGTCAAGGCCTCCCAGCCTGATCCACCTCACAAGCTTGTTGCTTTGAGGATACCTTGAGCAAATTGCCAGAGCAAGAAGCATGAGATCTGAGTGGGATGGTGTGACGTGGTGTCCTGCAACAGCAGGCGGTTGGACTCGATGGCCTTCATGGCCCCTTCCAACTCAACTATTCTATGATCCTATGAGCCTTAAATGCAATGCAATAGCAATAATTACACTGATGATCATCGTGTTCTTGCACCAACAAGCTCTGGCTTGACTCCTTGCCATTTCTCCTCTGTGGGGATGATGGACATTGGATCCTGGGCTTTCCACCTGCCACACAGGAACACTTGCCCTGGGCTCATCCTCTTTTCCTTAGTGTTTCCACCCACCTTGCGTGAGATGGTTTGATCCAGGCACCCTCAGGGTTACTCCCCTTCCTGAAGTAGGGCCAGACTCTGCCAGTGCTTGCTCACCACAGAGATAGACCTGGTAAGCAAACGGACGGCAGAAGCAGGACCTGGTTCACTGCAGCTGCCCAAGAGCCCCTCTTGTGCAAGCACAGTTCCTGCCTTGAAATGCCGTGGAAACGACGGGGGATCCTGCACCGCTGGCCCAGGGGTCTCTCCTTGAGCAGCAATGGGGGACCACAGGGCAGCAGTTCGAAGCAGAGTGCTCCTCTCCAGCTTTGACCAACAGGACACTGCTCTATCACCACGTAGGGATGACCTTTCCGCTCCACACGGTGGTTACCCCAGGTGTATCCTTCACCCCACCTCTTGCAGGAGAACAGACTTCCCCAGGCTCAGGTGGAGGTGCCCAGGTACAGTGCAGTGGCATGAGGTGGGTGCAGCATCCCCCACCCCAGCCCCATGCTGCAGAAGTCCCCGTGACGTGGAGCAGTCTCAGGTCGCAGAAATTGGAGGTACCTCCGACAGCTCCATCGAAATGCCACTTGGGTACCTCAGCAGAGCTGTCAGCTGTGTCTTCTGCCTGGTGGTTTTGCAAGGGTGCCAAAAGCTGCTCTTGCCCAGTGGCTCCCTTGCTGTGGAGCTTAACCCACCATGGGTTGTGCTGCCTGGGTTTGGAGAGGACAGCAAGCCATCGTGGGCCAAACAGACCTCCAACGAATGGTTGGTTCTAATGGCTGGAACCATCTCAGGAGCCCAGTGGGCACTAACTGTAACTGGGTTCACATGACACAACAACCAACCATCATACAGTATTGCTGGTTGGTTGTTACGTCATGCAAATATTTCTTTAGTAGGGGTTATGGAGAAAGTAAGAAACCACATGGTTCTCTCTCCTGCGGCTTGGGAAGGACACCTGTTCTTTATTTTCTGCTTCAAATCTGCAGCAGATATGAAACCTCCAGGGGAGGGATCTGCATTGCACCAGGTGTCTTGTCTTTTAGAGGTCAAACTGCCCTGCCCTGCCGCTGCATGTCTGGACCCGCGGATGCCCGGGGAAAGTCTTGATGATGCCAGTCATGACGGATCTGGGATGGATGGGGAAGACGTCATCCCGCATGGACTCCTCTTTGGTGTGCACCAAAGCTCTCAGATTTAATCCCAGTATCTCCCGTTCAAAGGATCTTGCAGCAGCTGATCGGCTCTCCTTAAGAGCCAGAATAGCTACTGCCCACCAGAGTAGAAAATGCTCGGCTAGACAAACCAGTGGGCAGACGCCCTAGAAGGGTGGGAGTTAACGATACGCCTGCTTGCCTCGTGAGCAGCTTTCCCTGATCAAAAGCAGGCACTTCAACTGGATCTAATCTTTCTCCCCACCCTGCAAGATACGGTGCCGACGAAATGCACGGCCCTACCCTGTCTGTTCTGCAGATCCTTTCATTCTCTTTTGATGCAAAGAATGCATTCTGCAAACGTTTTCTGGTCGGGGAATCTAGGCTCACTGGAGAAGCTGGCTCGTGTCTTGCACCTCATGTCCGGCTCTGGAGAGCTAATGAATGAATGAATATGGAGGAAGAGGGAGGAGTGGCGTGGGAAGTGGGATAGGATGGGGACAAGGTCCGGTCTTTAACTGGTCTATGATCGAATCAAAGGGCTGATTCACCTTTTGCAAATACCTCCATTTAGTTCTATCACAAATGGTTTGTGTCTTTTATAAAAGACAGACATGAACTCCCAGGTCCTCCTACAGCTTCCCCTGGAATTCTTCCCCTTCCTCTTCCTCTTCCTCTTCCTCTTCCTCTTCCTCTCTCTCACACATGCATGCATATTATGGTCCATGCTTTCTCAGCCCGTTGTGAAATGGCAACGGGCACGACTCCTTTGCTAAATCCTTCATTTGTCTTTCTCACAAAGTGCCAGTGAAGAGAAGTGAGCAAGCAACTGGGGCTGGGTGGGGTCCGGCATGCTGGTGGAGGGGGAAAGCAGAGATGAATGCATGCCAATTCAGTCCTGGACGGGACAAGAGGAAACCAGTCAGTGCGGAGGCCGCACCAGGGTAAGATCTGTTGCGGGTGGTGTGCTTGCCCCTTGGGCTGGTTGTTAGCACGGTGCCTCATCCTTCCAAAGGCAAGCCGGAGTTTGACATGGATCCAGGGACCGTGTGATCCATCCTTCACCCTTGAAGGCAAGCCAGCTAGAGCCATGGGCAAATGGTCTCCCATACATCTCCATCCTATATATGAACTGAGATCTGCTGCTCATGGCAGGGCATTTCCCTAAAATTTCTCTAACTGTGGGAGGAAAAATTCTCCAAATAGAACTCGTCCAACCATCCCTCTGTCCATATGTATGTCCTCCTTCCTTCCTTCCTTCCTTCCTTCCTTCCTTCCTTCCTTCCTTCCTTCCTTTCTTCATTTTTGACTTGTCCACTGCTCTTCTGACTGACGGTTGTGCAAAGGCACTCTGTGTTTGTGTGCTTTTGGGGGAGCAGAAAAGCCAGGTGCTGCCCAGACAGCAGACTATTCAGAGAAAGCTGCTACACCACTTTCTCAGCACATCCTCCGAAAAGTTTCCGCTCGACTCAACAGTGCCCGTGCATCACCACAAATGCCTAATCCAGGATCGCATAGAGTCCCTATGCCCCCGGCCCCGGTTCATCAGAGCATTCACTCCTGGGGAATTCTCTCTTCCCAGTTTTACCTTTTCTAGGATATTCTCTTCTCTGGACTGGCACCTGGGTTGGGCACAAGTAAATGTCCAAACCTGAGAAGTTTCCCACTGCAGTCTCTGGGACGCTCCGGCATTTTTGCTCCCTGTTCTTCTGGGACAGGACACAGGGACAGGGTCCTTCTATTTATGGAGAGAAGGGGGCCCACTGAAAGCAGGTTGCTTAGGAGAAAACACCACACGCAACCTGGAGTGGCCACTGCCTACCCTTTTCTTTAAAAAAATTGAATGTCAGTGGTTAAAGCCATTCTTTTTCAGGCTTCGACTGCCTCCCCAAAGCTCGTAGAGGTTCTATCTTTAAGGCAGTGTTTCCCAGCCTTGCATCCCCAGCCATTGTTGGGTTACAACTCCTAACATCCCCGATCGTGAGTGTGAGGGGCTCAGAGTCTAGCAGCAGGTGGGGCCCAAGGCCAGGAATTCGTGATGTCTGCAGAATCTGGCTGGGGGGTGAGGCTCTGTCAGATTTCCCAGCATGGCTCCCTGGACGCCAGCCTCTTTCCCTTGCCCTGAGCCAAAGGGAGCACATGAGTCTGGCTTCCATGCCTCCCACCTGCCTGCCCACTGTGCAAGCAGAGTTCTCCCTCCACACCCATGACTGGCGGGCTCTGCGTACTTTGAAAATAGTGCAAAGAAGGCGTCTGCTTGCACTCCTGAGCAACAGAGAATTGATCTTGGTTCAGCTCGCTTCCTAAGTCGGGGCTGAATGTGGGAAGACGTCCAGCCAGAGCAAGGGAGCTACAGCCTAGCTGGCCGCATCCCCGCCCAAAACGACCTCCCTACGTGGAGAGCTGAGCACATCTCCGCAGCGCATCCACATGAACGTGTGAGCGGGGGAGGGGGGCAAAGGACCATCTGACAGAGCCTGGCCTCCCTGGACCTGCCCGGAGGCCCATGGTTTTGCCGGGATGAGCAGGAAAACCCCTGGGGGGCCTCCTAGCCCACCAAACCACACAAGCAGCCCAAATCAGGCCCCCTCCGAAGGAACGAGATTTTTTAGAAGGTGCCTTCCAAAGCAAAAAATGGAACAAAACAGACCTGGTTTTATATTTCCATTGTTGGGAGCAGCCTATGAATACATGTGTGAATCAGAGTGGCAGGCCGCCCTCTTGCCCCTGCCTTGCCACGGCCGTCCTTCAGAACCTCAGTAGCCCGGTGGCAAGGGACATGGGAAGAGGAAGAGGAAGAGGGGAAGGGGAAGGCAGAATAATTGCTCGCTGTCATCAAATTTCAGATATCAGTGGCAAGGGCAGGAAAGGGAGCTGCTTCACTTAAAACACTCTCTTTCCATGGCTGCCGCTGTGACAGAATTTAGCTGCAACCCACTGGCTTTCCTTAAGAAAGGGCTCTTTTCCTCTCCACGGGCAAACGCAGCGGGTGTCACAGCCGTGGGGCTGCGCGATGGCAAAGGGGTTCTCACGGATGGCGTTGGTGTATCCCAGGTCTAAATGCATGCCTGGGGCCAGATGAGCCAGTGTGCCAGCTGGGCTTCCTGTAACGCGCACAGCTGCCCGCTGGAATATGCCAAGATGCGAGTAGCTCTTCCAAACGACCCTGTGGAGCTGTCCTCACTTCCCTTCCACCCGCCACCTTCTCACCCATCGCCTGCCACAACATACCTGCCGTCTTGCGGGCTCGTCTCCTCTCTGTATTTGGAGGACGTGTCCTGTCTTGCAGGTGACGTTGCACTGGCCACCGTTGGAATGTCCCCCACTGGTGAACATCAGCACGGCATTCCTGATCTCCAGCTTTTGGCAGTTAGTAGATTTGCAAGAGTGATGAACGCAGCTGTCACGGGAGGGAGGAAGACAAAGGGTCCTCATTAACTCAGTTCCAGCGTGCAAAAGCTAGACAGGGAGTGATAAGGAAACTGGAAGCTGGCAAAGATGTTCACCCCCAAAGTCTGTGTAGTGATGATGGGGAACCTGCGGCCCGTGGACCACCTGTGGCCCTGCAGCCACAGCCCTTGTGGTCCTCCAGGCAGAAGAGAGTGGCAGACAGAGGAAGAAAGCTAGCTAAGGGGTGAAGCTAAACCGCTTTGTTCTCTCTAAACATTCACAGGATCGTGCATAGAACTTGAGTCAGAGCAACGAATCAAAGAGATGGCCCTGGTCAGAAGGCAACACTGTACTTCAGAAAGAAAGCAATAAACACACAACGGAAGCACATCAGCCTTGCTGCCCATAGTCAGATAGCTTCATCATGTAATCAGAGCTTTTCCATCTCACCACATCTTCACAACCACAACCTTAGAAGGTAGGGCAGACAGAGCAGAAAGTTTTCCTCAGTTCATCCAAGAAGTTTCGTGGAAACAGACTTGTGATGAAGGAAGGCTTGCTTGTCGATTTTCCTGTTTGATAATTCAGTGTGGACCTTTGAAAATCCTACCTTTATATAATAAGTGAGTAAAACTGGGGCTTTAAAGGTCAATCTTGAAAGGGTTTGGATGTCGCTGGAACCCTTGCTCTGTCCCTTTGGCCAACCCTTGAAGAATGCTTTCTGGAAAAGCTGTGGGCAACTCTTTGGGCTGGAAGACATACCCAATTTTCATGACAAGGAGAAGTGTTTAATGCAGTTGTACAAATTTCCTTCCTAGTTACCTCTTAGTCCTTTACTGTGCACAATTTCCTCCCCCTGCATTTACTTTTCAGCTATTAAATGTGTGCATTTCCCAGTCCACACACACACACACACCAGTACTCCTGTCAGTTTTTGTCTTTAGAAACTCGTTGTTTTTGTTCAGTTGCAAAACTGTGCCTGACTCTTCACGACCCCATGGACAACATTCCTCCAGATTCTCCTGTCCTCCACCATCCCCTGGAGTCCACCCAAGCCTGCACCCACCTCTCCAGTGACCGCATCCACCCATCTCAACCTATGCCGTCCCCTCCTCCTTTTGCCTTCAATCATTCCTAGCATCTTCTAAACCCTTAGAAGTGGCAGAATGGGACAAAGGGGGCACAGGGGGCTCCAGCCATGATGACATTGCTCCCCTGAGTTCAGACAACCCATCAGGGTATGAAAAGTCCCTAGAACAAGCCATGGTTTCTAGAAAGGCTTATTCACCAGTAGAAAAGCCATTCTGGATCCACAGGACATAATGACCCACGGTGGGTAGCTAACCATCATGGGTTGTTATGCAATGTAACCTGGTCATACTATTCAGTCCCTTCTATTTTTCTTTGTAGGACTTATGTATGCTTCTACTAAAGCAATGAAAATTATGTTTACTTTTTTCAGTCAATCATATTCAGCTCATAATTGACCACTACACCAAGGACCTTTTCACATGTACTATTCCCAACTCGTGTTTCCCACATTTATACCTATTCCTACGTTTCTTTTTTTTTAAATGAAGAACGTCACACTTTTTTCTGTTAAACTGCATTCTGCTCAGTCTTCTAACCACTCTGAGGCATTATGAATTTTCTTTCTGTCTTCTATCCCACCTAGTTTTGCATCCTCTACAAATTGGATAAGCTTTCCCCACACCTCTTGAACAACCTTCCTGTTGGTTTTCCTGCCATATAATCTAAGTAAAATACAATCAGCTTTCTTGAAGACTAAGGGGATTTACAAAGATGCTTTGATGATGCTTTCTTGTCAGCAGATTCACCTATTTTCTCAGCTGCTTGAAAAGTTTTGCTAAAAACAGTATCATCTTGCATTTCTTGCAACTGCCTCCCAAGGCAGTCAATAGGTTTAAATGCTGTTTTGATATCCAGATTCTTTTGTTGAACCTGGGAGGATCTAGGCTTGGGATATCCCAGGATTTCTAGTATCCTTTCGGTAAGAAAGGGAAAAGAACAATGACAGATCTGATTGAACAACCCCAAAGTCTCAGTTTTTAGATGACAATATTCTCACAAGGTGAAAATTGCACTGTTTAATCTGAGTGTGGAAACAAGACCTCCTCATCTGAAGTCTAATAATAACTGAATCCATGTGTCCAGCCCACCGGGGAACCAAAAGGGGTTTAACAAACTGCCTTTATAAATCTAAGCAACACTTCCTTTCTCAAAATAAATACATACCAGTGTTCTTATTAATCAAAATATCCCTTCATCTCAGGTATATCCTTAATCGTACAAACTATTAGAACATATTCTACTCTGACACTGTCCTAAAACAATAACATATATCAAGAAGTTGGAGGAGGAGGAGGAGGCTGTTGGATTCTGAAAACTCCCACAATATGTTATGCGTTTGAAAAAAAAGTGGCAGATAAAATTTTGGGGGACTGGTCCACCAAGCCATGGATGATACCTCCCCCATAGGAGTTGATCAGGGAAAGAAGAACCATAGCTGAGTAGGAGAGGAAATGCTTTGAAGGCACAAACGTGCAAAGGAACAAGCTAGTTTTTAAGCCCCAGACTGTTCAGAACCAGGTGGCCTGAAGCCCCCAGTCTGGCTGCATCTTAAAAGCTAACACATTCATCATGGCATCATCCAGGGGTTTTGAACATGCCTGCAAGACACTTCTCTTACTCCCCTTCAAGCTCCCTGCCCCCCAATTTTTATGCCAAGTTGTTGTGGTTGTTGTTGTTAAACTGCTGCCCTCCAGCTCCATCTCATCCGGGGTTCTATCAAAAGGGTGGAGCAGTGTTTGGAAGCTCAGGTCCTATCTCTGGACTTTTGGGGCAAGACAATTTCGGCTAGCCTCACCCTTTTGTCTTCTGGAAAATGAGTATTTTATATAGCCCTGTCTAACCTGGCTCTGTTTTACAAATAAGTCCACCCCCAGGGGAATTATTTTAGGAGAGTACCCAAAACATGCTTTCAACATGCGGAATGTGCCAGCAACCCCAAAGGCTTCCAGGCTTCCAGCACAAGCTTTTATGGGGACAAGAAGCCCATTTCTTCAAATGCTTAGTTAGCAGGTATATACTAGGGGCGGGGAAAATGGATTTGGTCCACACTTCTGCATGAGCTGACCCAATTCTCACTTCCCAAATTCGGAAGCAAGCCAGTGTGGGGTGGTGGCTAAGAGGATGGGGTTGCTCTAATCCCCGTATGGCTATACAGCCCCTCGGATGACTGGGCCAGATGTGGACTTTCAGCATAGCCTACCTTTCAGGGTTCCATTGTGAGGATGATGTGGAGAATGACTATTATTATTGTGTAATCCTCTCCCAGGTTGTATTTGGGCTTGTAAGAGCCACGGCCAAGATGGGCAAGCATCAACATTTGAAACCCACTCTGAGTCTGGGGACACATGTGTCAGAAGCAGCCAAATTCTAAGCCCCTGCAATTGTCCGTCTTTTGCCTTTTCTTTTCAGTAACCAGCGCTAAGCTGGCTTTGAGGGAAAGAAGGGGAGATAGGAAGATAAATAGGATTGCTTGCAAAGAGGAGCTTACTTTTCTCTGCCTTCACCGTTCCCTCTGGGAGAAAACTGATCAAAAGAAAATTAAGACAATGACTGGGCACAAGAACAGAGAAGCTGGTCTGCCTTTGTGGATCTGATGGATGGAATTTCTGGCCGGGCAGTGGCAAGGCACGTGCGTGTGTGTGTGCGTGCGAGTGTGTGCGGAGAGGAAGAATCTGGCGATTGAGCAATGGTTTACACTGCCTTAAGTATGCCAGGTCACAGGAGAAGCAGACAGGGTACATAATTTTCAAATACCACTGAGAGAAACCAAGAGGCTGCAATTCTGAAGCTGCAGATTGAAGCTGAGAGGCACTTTGGAGGTCCTGGATTTACCCTGCAGATGTGGCACAAAGTCAAGCACAGAAACAAAATCCGTGCTCGTGGGGTGTGTGTGTGTGGGGGGGGGGGGGGTGCTTCGGAGCCACAGAGCTACCCTGCAACTGCCACCTGCATTTAAAAGGGCAACAACGCAGTTTGCCTCACAGAAGACACATCCAGGCAGGTAAATGCAAAACAAGAAGCTTCGGTGGAAGTGGAGAGCACGATTTTGCTTACTTCGGTCTATATGGCATGCAGAACAGTGGCGTGCTTGTACACAATACCCCCCACTGCAAAAACGGGGGCTTTCCTGTGTGGGGAATCCATGGCAAAAGGGGAACCAGTGTGGCTGGGGTGCTGGACGTGGGACACGGGTGATCCGGGTTCTAATCCCCATTCGCCCATGAAGGCAAAGTCCCCACTGGGTGACTTTGGGCCAGTCACTCAACCTCCGCCTAACCCAGTTCACAGGGTTGTTTTCGAGGGTATAAAATGGAATGGAGGGGGACTCTGTAAGCTTCTTTAGGTTCCTTGCAAGAGGAAGAAAGGGGAGATGTAAAGTTAACACGCCATTATCATTATTCTTAAAGACAGCAACAATCCAATGGAAGGAAAGAAGGAGCAATGAAAAAGCGAGGAAGCAAGTGAGGAAGCAAGGAAGAAAGCAGACAAGCAAGTCACATTTCCCCCTTTCATGGCTGAAGAAAAGGTCATTTTCTATGAATGTCTTGGAGTCCAGAGGATGGGAAGCCTTGAACTCTTGATGGATGCTGGTGTGGCATTGGAGCACTCAGCCTGCACAAGCAAGGGTGGCACGTGTGATAGTGGTGAGCAGCACGGATCAATGCACATCAGTGTGAGCAAAGGCTTTGCAAGTGTGTTCAGCTGGACTTGCTTGGAAGCGCTGTGCCCAGAAACCTGGAGAGGCGATCCAGCACAGACCACAGCAGTAGGCATGCCCAGCCCCTGAGAAGCACCGGCACAGGGATATGAGGCAAGGGAAGTTCCAGGGGTAAACATACTGTAAATAAGGAAATAAATAGATGAAGCTATTTCGTATTCATCAGCTGATTGTCTTCAGGATTGTGCACTGGGGGCTGGATATCAGTGTAGCCCGTTGGAGGACAGAACAGGCCTGCTGGACCAGACAAAAGCCTCCCCCATTCTGGCACTCTGTTCAACCCAGAAGCCGGGAGAAGTTTTGAGAATCATGTGACTGAAAGGTGGGCATCCATCTTCAATATAAGTCTAGCAGAAGTAGCTTTTTTAAGGGACTATGGTAATTGGCTCAAGGAAATGGGCCTTTCTTAAGCTGATGACATTTGGCCAACAGTTTCCCCTGGCCATGGTGGCTGGCTTAAGCCCAAAAGATCTGGAGGGCACCCAGTTTGGGAAGGTTGTTACAATGCAATTTGATGTGGAGCTGATCCAAGATCAAGTTCTAAATCCTACATCTTGCCTCGTCCACTGAAGTTTTGTTGGCCCTCTCATCAAAACAACATCCCGCAAATCCAATGCTTTCACCTTCAAGAAGCGCAAGCTTAGGGAAAAGAGAGGAAGACCTTGGAAAACAAACTGTATCAGCCCGACCGAATGAGATCTGTGGCAGACCAAGGATATGGGAAGTATGATCAAAGAACTGGAAAGCTGGAGATAGTAAAAGTGAGAAAGAGACGATTCTCTCGGTGCCTCCCACTGGAGACGGCCCAACTGGGAAACTACGCAGTGGGGCCTGGCAACAAATTACAAGGTCTTGGCACTGAAATTAGTACATTTACTGCAGATTGATAACCCACCTTTCACCTATGAGTCAAGTTAGCTGATAATGTTTCCTCCTTTCATTATACTGGAATCTAGATATTTCTTCAGAAGAGATCCGCAATACAGAAGGGGTGCTTGCCAAATTCTGCAAAAAGGAGCGGGCCCTGGTTTTGCAGTCGTGATGGCCATGGGGACAGCTGCCTGGTTTCTTGCACACACCACAATGGACAGGAATTCAGCTTCCGAGCAGGTACTGGGATTTGGATAGTCACACGTGGGAGAGCTAACGAGGCAGATGGCAGGAGCATCACCCTTTGCAGCCGACAGAAACTATTCCATCACACAGAGTGGGCCCAGAAAGTTGATGTTCTGAAACTGAGACCACCCATCCAGCCTAGGGGAGGTCAGACCAGTCTGTTTCCCATCCATGCCAATTTTACCAAACATTCATAGCTCCGCTGCCTTTCATTTCCTCCCCAGTTTGCATTTTTGACAATGTAAACACCTGCTCCGAACTGTGCATCTTCAAAAATTTAGTTTCCCCACAGCAGAAGTGTACATCTTTTGATGCCCAATGCACATTTTATATGTATCTAAATATTGTTTTTGAGCCAAGAATTGGATTGCAACATTTGGCAAAAACCCAAAGGAAAGTTATGTTCCAAGCCGCTTATTACTCCCAGAAGTGTGAACCAGGTTGGGGCCTTTAAAAATGCAAACATAGCTTTATCCTCAATCTCCTTCCATATATCATCCAAAGTTTCACAGATAAAAACAAGGGCCTGCTCATAAAACCGAGGCACGCTGGACAATTTCTCCTATTCTAGTTCTCTGGTTTATACCGTCCTGAATCTTGAATTCCAGTTTAAGCAGGAGAATTTATAACATTAATTCTGCAATAGGATCAAGTGCATTTGTTTCAAATATCTCTGCATCTCTTCCTCCCCCACTCCATTTCTCAGGTAGACACGTGTTCCGACTATTTTGGAAAAGCAATCTTTCTCTTATGGAATGCAAGATTATCTCACACTTCCCTTTATGGAATGTCCTACTTAGGAATGGACTGATCGAGCAATTTTGATTTCTCTTGGTTAGGTACTGTCCCAATCAATCTTCAATTCATTTTGTCCCATTTCCACCTCAAATTATGCTTTTTAAAAAAAAAGGTCTACGGGAACATTCAATATGCATTTGCGTATACATTTCGCCTAATGGATATATTGTTGAAGAATTTTGTCTAACACATGCATTTTTGCAAGCATCTACCTCCATCTGCACTTGGCACATTGTTTTAATTACTATGCATATTTTTATGTCTGCTGCCCCTAAGACGGGCATGCTATTTTTTCCCCTCCCTTAACTGGAAAATGGTTTTGCAAAATTAGAAGCACAAATACAGAACAAGAAGTGGTTTTGCATATTGGCTTTGGAAGTGTGGGTAAGCTAGATCCACTTTAAAATGTTAAACAAATAGATTTGCCTCCTCTCCCTCTCCCTATCATTATTATGTTATTTCTATAACACCCCAAAGCTGAAGCTCTCTGCAATGTTTGCAAGAATGCGTAAATTGCAGGCAACAATAAAAATATCATGAAAATCATCATACGGAGTTTAAATTCTGCGTTCTACTGATGTGTGTGCACTGTTAAAGACCATACCAATTTTCATTCAGTTTCATGGATAATCATATCCTGATTATATGGGGGGCGGGGGGGTGGATAGAAAACTTCTCAGGGGATGGTGCCTTGCATCTTTTTCCTCCTTTGCCAAACTGCTAGAAATCTACTTTTGGACAGAGAAGACAAAGATAAGTGTAGCTATAGAAAAAAAGGGGGAAATCAGTGTGAAACATGTTCCTTGGCCTAGATACAAGGCATCAGATTGCTGTAACGAAGAGAGACGGGTACGTTCAGAGGCCCAGAAGAGCTGGGCTGAGTTTCAAACAGGAGGTCCAGTTGGTGCAGAACTAGCCATGTCCCACTGCAAGAGTTACGTGGCAAGAGAAGGAGATACGCTGGAAAGAAGGTTGAGGAGCGGCAGGCAGTGGAGCAGGGGGATAAATCAAGGAATCCATTTGCTGCCTGCGTTGTTTTCCCTTTTTGTTTATTACAGCTTAAAGAGTCAGAATTGAAATTCCTGTCATGACATGTGTTGTCATTCATTATGACTGATGCAGTAGATGTGGAAAGAGTTTTTTAATTAGCTGGACAAAAAAAAAATATCCTGTTAATTAGCAGATAAGGTCGCAAAAACATGTAGCAATTTTGGCTATTAACTACGGAAAGGTCTTTTTGTTTTTGCTTGTTTGCAGAGTGAGACACATTTTCTTGTAGCGATTAGTGCTAATATTTATTTGCAATAATAGATATGAGTGAATGTATTATTTGGTATAATAAGATATAAATATAACACTGGCAAAGCAGTGTCAAAGTGGTTTGGTAGAAATGAAGAACAAATGCAAAGTTGACTGAAAAAAATGTGTACAGAGAAGAGCAGAGCCAAGACACCTTTTAAAGTAGCATTTTGCCCCGCACTGAAATGATATTCAGCTTGTCCTGAGCTTGGTATTGAACGTGTCTTGCATCTTCCTACCTGCAGGGAGAGCTTTCCATGATTAGGTTGCCCCCACTTACAGTGTAGGTCCTTCCACTGTATCCATGTGGCACAACTAAGATGATGGGGACCCTTAAACGGGGAAGCTTATTAAAGCTTTCATTGCAGCTTCCTCAACATGGTAGCCTTGACAACAGCCCCCATTTCCAACTGTTTGCCATGCCAGCTGGGCTGAGGAAAGTTGGGGTCTGGAAGGCATCGATGAAGTTGCCTTTGGGCATGGACAAGAAGCAAGTGACCATCAGGTTTCCTGGTCCCGAGCTGAGAGAAAAGCCAAAGTCAGCATCGGCAGGACGGGTTGTGCCCACGTTTCATGGCCAATGGGCAATCTGGCCTCCAGAATGGAAGAGGCGGTTGTTCCCAGTGTGCATTTCAGGAACAGGGAGACTCCAACTCTTCAGAGGAAGAGAAATGGCCTTCAGGTATCAAGATGGAAGAGCTTAATCCAAAGCCACCTTCTCCAGGTGTTCAGGTGGACCCTGAGAAGAGTCAGAGTCTGCAACTGCCAGGAGGGGGTGTGGGACAGGAGTCCCTTGAGCCACATATGATCCGTGAACCCATGAAGTTCCACTGGGAGAGAAGGGCTACCCAACTAGAGGAAGTGCTGTAGCTAGGAGTCTTGCCCACCTCTAGAAGGGCCCTCCTGGAGGGGCAGGGTCCAGGTTTACTCCAAAGGAGAGTTTCCAGAAGTAGTTTGGGAATGATGAACCTCTCTGTACATGCTCAGAGACCCTTCCTCCACTGGCAATGGTTTGCTGGATGTACAGTGGAGAGTAAGGAGCTTTGGCCAAAGAACAGCCTGTTGCTCTGAAAGAGAGCAAGGGGAACCTGGCTCCCAACACTTCCTGTTCTCCATTATACCATCCTGACTTCCACTTGAGATGGATGTGAAAATGTATCCATGCAAAGAGTTCTTGCTCAATCAAGAATGGGGTAGAAATGCCAGAGGCCTTCCCCCTCACTCCCCAACATGAGAGCTTGAGCTCCTGAGTAGCCAGCTTCATTCCAGTTTTAATTATTATATCTATTTATATCCTGCCAACTCCTAAGATTGAGATTCTAGGCCGCCTGGTGTGGAAATGATCTACTGGAAAAAGGAGAGGGAGACGCAGGCAATCTGACAGCTTCCCATGAGGGTTCAGTGCCAGCCCATTCACCTCCAGCAGTGCCAAAGGTCATCCACTCTTTCTCGTCTTACCACATCTTAGCTCCTTGATCCAACCGGGTCCTGCTGGAAGTCTGTCGGTGGTAAATAGCCAGGCATGTGAAGGGGGAGGCAGGGGATGCTCACCTCTGTTCCGCCGGGCTGTAGGTCTGTCCACTCTGGCAGCTGCTGACGGTGATGGGGTCAAAGTTGTGAAAGGAGCGCAGGGCCACCCCTGAGATTGCCACGAACTGCGAGCTGAAGGTGATTAGAACTGCTCGGGTGTGGTAGAAGTACTGGCTGAGGTCATGAATGACAGGAATCACCAGGGGGTTTTTCCGGCAGCTCAAACCATGGGCCCCTGTCAAAGGGAAGGCAAAAGCAGGGAGAGGGGTAAAGGAGAATCGGCATTTGCACAGGCATTTCTCTTCCCTCTAACAGGGAGCTGTTAAGGGGAAGGAGAGACAAAAGAAACAGTCCCTGTTCGGCAAAAACAAGGGGCACCGAATTTTGCCTTGGCTCCTGGGGTACATTAAATAAGGAAAATCCACATAAAACAGAGAAACAGAGTGAGTCAGAAGGGGTCTCCTGGGCCATCTAGTCTGACCCCCGGCTCCAGCTGGCTCTGCTCATGACATGCCCACCATGTGGACGTCCAGCCTATCCTTGACCACCCGCACCGATGGGGCCTCAACCACCCCCCGTGGAAGCCCATCCCACACCCTCGGGGTCCTGACTGTCAGGAAGTGCTTCCTGGCATCCAAATGGAATCTTGGCTCCCTGAGCTTTGCTCCGCTGGAGCGCATCCTGCCCTCCTCTGCAGGGCAGAACAGGTCTCGACCCATAAGAAGCATGTCAGGTCTGCTCTTCTTTCCCCCTCCAAATGTTTGCACTCCCTGAAGTAGCAAATTGTAGAGCCCTCTTGAACCATGTGGTGTGTCTGGGAAGCTGCTGGTGGGAGCGGGGAAGGAATCAGCACAAATGCAGTGGAGGTCTGCAAACTTTTTGGAGATTCTCCTCTCACCAAGGAGCCTCCAGGACTCTGGAACCACCCAGTTTAGGAAGCCCTTTTGACCCACTGGATAGACTTTGGTTGGGGGTAGAGGTAGCAGGAGTTGATGGGAAAACCTTCCATGAACTTCCTTAAATTAATTTGTCATTGGACCCCAATCTTCTCTGCCTACAAGCAGACTATTTTGCTGCAGGAGCAATGTGACCACTACCATGGATTAATTCATTCATCAGGTCTTTCCCACAGGGAACAGGATACAATCCAGGGGCGATTAAGAGGCACTTCTTCAGGCTTAAACCACACTGAACAGGAAGTAACTAGAAGCAGAGCCTAGATGAAGAAGGCTTCTAATTGAGGCTTCCAACACCTTAACCAATAGAATTCTTAAGGACATCTGGAGGATCAAGGTCACATAAGATGATCAACCAATTGCATATATATGGTGTCAGCTGGGTTGTGGTTGAACTTAAGGACTGCTTTCCCATCAGGTGGTGCACAAATTCTAGCTAAAATGCGGTGACACAACTTGTCGCTAAGTGTTGTGGGTCATATGCCATTGTTTTTAATCATTCTGGCATTCCTCCCTGACCTCAGAAGGTTTGCCTGAAAAAGGGAGTTGTACTTTATTTTACTGTGGACGGCAAATGAGCAGGCAGATGGTTCTTACCAAGGTCATGACTTTGGTCTCCAGCATCGATCAGCTGCACGGAAATAGTCTCTTGCTTCTGATCAAGGTCCATCTCCAACCAAGTTCCATCAGTGACCAGATGAATGACCACGGCAGCTGCTACCATGGGTTGTGAGAAGTAAGCCTGGGGAGAGGGAAGGGAACTCCAAGGTATCAGATGCAGAGCTGGATTGGTCTGGATTTACTGAGGTTCTGTGCCTCTTTCAAGGTGGAACCAAACTTCCTATTCCTGCACTACAGGCTGGAAAGGGTCTTCACCTGTTATTTCTATTCCACAAGGAAGCTGGGGGACTCGGAACACTTGTTTTCAGTGGTTACTGGGAGCTTGATTACATTGGAGGGAAGCTATAGCTCTTCCAACTTTCTTTTGAACGACATATGTCCTAAATCAGCCTTCCACAACTGGGTGTCCTCAAGATATTTTTGACTTCAACTCGCACTGATCTGTGCCGGTCAGCATGGTCAAGAGTCAGAAGTCTGAGGAGTTCTAAAGCATCTGGAAAGGGGAAAGCTGTCTCAAAGCAAAGATGGTCAGTGTGGACCATTTTGGATGGCCTGGAGGCAACCTGGACATGAAGTGGGTTGGGAACTATTGAGAAACCATCCCTCTTCCCTGGATGAACTAATGACCTGAATCTCTAATCCATTTGCCTACAAGGTTCACATTCCAGCCAAGTGAAACCTTTGTTGTTTTTCCATAGGGAAGAGAAAGAATTAACTCCCCACAGATTACCTCTCTTCCTGCTTTTCTGCAGGCGGAAAGGGAAGTAAAAACCAAGATGACTGACCCAACTAGGAAGGCAGGAAAAGAAGTTGTGGACCAAAAGATTGGTCAATCATCCCTATAACTTGACTTTTTGAGTTAGCATTGAGGTCCCTTTCTTCACAGCATCTCCTGCTCCCATTATTTTATTACTCACCTTTCTCTTTTGTTTTCCTCTCTTCGACAGGGAACAGTAGATATATATCATACTACAGATGATAGCAGACTTTGTATGAATGGGAAGGCATTTGCACTAACCTATGTTTTTCTTGACCACAAAAAATGAGGACATTTGGAATGGGGCAGTGAGTAATGGGTGCTTCGTATTTCTTTGTATTTTACAAACGCTAAGGTACAAAACCTTCAATAAACTGGGGCAGTGTTTATTTTAAAAGCTGCTTACCTTAAGCCAGAAACTGGCATGGGTGTTGTTGGCGGTGCACGGGTACCACGCATACTGTGCCATTTCAGCGCTGAATTCATGCAGCTTGGTCCGGCACACCTGAAAGAAACGGGAGAATGATGGAATGACTACATTCTGGGGCAGGCTGATGGCAACTCCTCTGTTTCATATTTGGCTTGAATCCACACAAAACCAGAAGCAGCAGTTGGGCCATGATAAAGACTCGAGGTTTTGCATGGTGCAACTCTGGGCAATGTGCTCATGGGATCATGGCTGTGATCAGAAGGCGCATGAAGGAGGGCCTCAATCTGGAAGTCGGAAATAAAATGCTTCTCACACATGTTGGGCTTCTGTTTGTTTCTTTCTTTGTTTCACGGAAGTGAAGGATCAGCTGTTGTTGAAGGCAATTCCAATCAGCACCATCACCCTTCTTAGCAGCAATGGCTGGAGCCATGCCCAATACTTTGAAGTAAAACATGGGAGACAATCAATGCCCAATCGTTTCTCTTACGTACATCACAAAAAGCCATCATCCCCTGGGCTCAGGACATTCCTAAATGCCTATGGATAGACACAACAACCCGTGGGTCTATCCAGAAACCTACTTCAGCAAGTAATGGGAAGGAATGTGCAGAAACAGAAAGCAAAATAAAAAGCAGCTGTATTCTCCCTATGTGTCTAATGTGTTACATTATGCATTACATTATCTAAGGCAGGGCTGGGGAACCGGTAGCCCGCTGGATGCTGTCGGATGCTGGTTTCCACCAGCCTCAGCCAATCTGGCCAATGGCGGGAGTTCGGCAACGTCTGATTGGCCACACGCTCCCCACCTCCATCCCCAGTCGCTCAGAGCTGTGCACACCAGCAACGCCCCAAGGATGCTTGCGATAAGAGGGGAATCCAATGGCAGGAGCTGTGCTCTGCTGTACCGCCACCCTCGTCCCAGGCAGTTCTCCGAGGACCAAAGACCTTCTGCTACTTGAGGTGGAGCAGCAGTGGTGGTGACCTCAGCATGAGGCCACCGTGACACATACTAGGCGAGGCCGGTCAGGTTCTTTTGGTCCCTGGGAAACAAAGTCCCACAAGCACCTTTTCCCTCCATAGCATGAAGGAGAACTAAAACCAGCATATCCACAGTGTGGGTTTGCTACAGGAAGTCATGCTGGCCACCCATCTGGTGGCTTTAAAGAGGGACTGGAGGAGGAGGAGGAGGAGGAGGATGGCCCGGGCTACTAGCCCTGATGGCCATATGCCACCTCCTGTTAGATACACTGATCGCTGGGGGACGTGGGCCGAAGGGTGTGCTGGCACTCGTATCCTGCTTGGCGGATCTTTGGGGCAGCTGCTTGGCCTCTGTGTGAACAGGAAGTAGGATCTGGTGGCCCTTGGGTGGGGTTCAGCATGGCTGTTCCTCGGTTCTTCTGCAGCCGCACGGCATGCAAACCCAGTTATCTGAGGTGGCCACTTCCCTCTGGTTAAAAGCTGGGCCAGCCCTGAGTCAAGAACAATGAGCAGAGGTGCTTGCTTGAAATATTTTCAGGGATGCTGGTGGAAAGCCACCGCCCTCCAAGTAAGAATAGTTCCCTTCTATTCCCGAGTAAATAGTCCAAGTAACGCAGGAATGGCGCTTCGAATATTTGGGAAAGGAGAGCCTGGATTGGCCAAAAGTGAGGTAACGATTTCTCTAATTTGACTCCCCAAAGGCTGAGAGCAAAGGAATCTACAGGCAAAACATAAATCAAGTTTAATGGGCTGGAATAAGTTTTTCAGTTTTGTTTTTAAAAAAAGGAAAAAGAAAACCCTAACTGGGATCAAACTTCATCCTGTCCATGCCAGCGGATAGTGTTACATTTTACAACAGTGCAAGACTTTACATAAACTATCTTTGGCATTTGAAATCCATTCCAGCAATTCGACATGTATCATTTTGCAATTCTCCTTTCTTGCATTTTCAGCAGGCTGTGTCTTGTTGGGGAGAATGGTTTTTATTTTAATACGTATCCAGTTAGGGGATTTATCCTACCAACATCTGCAAGTTATATGGCCAGGGAACTCTCTGACACTAATGGAGAGCTTTGCTAGTTTTCCATGGCCCTCATGGTGAGCCTCCCTTCTCTCTCCTAAACTCGCTTGGCCCCCAAAAACACCGAGTGGGATGGGAAGGCTGGGGCTTGGCAGCGTTCACGTGTCGCTTAATGGATGAGTGAGAACTGCTATTAAAAGCTGACCCAAACCTCCACTAAAAAACTTGAGCCAAACCCAAAACAAACCATTGTTGAGGTTCAGGAAAGCTCTGATAATTTAAAATATCTCTGTTTCCTTTTTTTCCCTTTTCCCTTTTTTGCAGACCTCAGCACTTTCCAGGATTTGTCTGCAACTGGAAGAAGAACTCTTAAAAGTACAGGAGGAATTTTGTTGGTAGGGCCTCTTCTACATTCTGCATACTCTCCCCACAATTATATCCCCCAGAGTTTCAGCGCTGCACTGATTAATTGGCTAGCTACAGTAATCCGTTTCAAAGCTTTGCTTTCCTTGCTCTCCTACCTCCAAATAACCAAGGCCATTCAAGTCCAATGCACTGATTCTCGGTGTGCTTACAGGAACTATTGGGAACAAGCCCCAGCTCAGAAAAAGCTTTCTTCCACTTTTTTTTCCCTTGAAGATGCATCCTCTTAAAAGGGAAAGAATGCTTGATTTCCTTCAACCACTTGCTTCATTCAGTTCTATGAAGATTCGGTAAACTAACTTATTACCTAACAAATCAACAATCATGATTAGAATATCCTAATTCCACCTTCAGATCCTTTTAACACTTAAGACACTATTGGAGGGATTCCCATGGCAAGATTATTTCAGTTACTATAAAGTGAGACTCTCTTTCCAAATTAACCGAGTAAATTAGATTGCTAATCATTCCAGCCTTCCATCACTCTGATCTCTTCGGTGCAGCTGGCTTTGTCCAGTGGTACTTTTCTTAAGCCTCCGGGGACAGTTCCTCTGAGAATTGTTCCTCTGTCAGTCCCTCCCTTCATCACATGACTATTTGGTGGGTATGGTGGGCACCCGTCCATCTTAAAGGAACTCAACCCTGACTGCTCTTGAGAAGGCCAGATCCTGAAGATGAAACTCAAATACTTTGTCCACCTAACGAGAAGGAAGGACTCCCTGGAGAAGAGCCTAATGCTGGGAGCAATTGACGGCAAGAGAAGAAGGGGACGGCAGAGGATGAGGTGGCTGGATGGAGTCACTGGGCCGGTGGGTGTGGGCTTGCGTGGACTTGGAAGGATGGAGAAGGAGATGCACTAGGGATGGTGGAAGACAGGAAGGCCTGGAGGAATGTTGTCCATGCGGTCATGTTGGGTTGGGTAGACACCATCAGTACTGGGGTAATTGGGAGCCACCATTTCAATTGCTCCTGGACTGGATCCAATTTGAGAAGTTGAAAGAGCAGCTTCCAATCAACCTGTCTGTGAGCAGAATGACAAAAAATGGGAAGGGGGCAAGGGAAAGAGCAGCGGTCTACCCTGCTGGGGTGTTGGGTCTGACTTGAGTTCTTCAAGCAGCTGTGGTGCTCAATGAGAAAGGGTGGGGAAGAAAGCTCAGCTAAAGAATTAGTGGTGAGTATGGTGCTTTCTCAGGGAACATGTAGATTTGTAACATAGCCCTGTTTTGATCTACATTTATAGCAAACAGCCCCACTGCTTCCAAAGGAGGGCTGTGCCCTCCGTGCTGGTAATCGTAGTTGGTTGGCATGGGAAGTGATTGGAGTGAGGCTTGTACAGGTCAGTGGAGAGGATTCCAGGACCCCAGTGGCCTGTCAGTCTGATGAGTCCCACCCCACCGCTTCTCCTCTCTGTCGTCACTGCCTGTTCCCCTATCTGAGCATGGAAGCAGTGATGGGAGGATGGAGAAGAAGATGCATCGCCCCTGCACCTTGCTGCAGTGGGGCAGGTGGAGCCCTGAGGAGAGGGCCAAGCAATGGAACGAGCGACTACGCTGGCCCATGGCCATTGAGGATGGTTAGATGGAAACCAGGACATTAAAGTGAGGTGGAGCTGGGCAGAACCACAGATGGAGCTAGGAGGGGGCAGAACAGGGCTGGTGTTTTGCTTATTAAGGAAAAGAAGGATGGTTGATGAATGAGCTGGTGGTCAACCACACATTCTCTTGCAGCCAGAGTTGATGCAAGTTGAGTGTATGTCGAATCTCTAGCAGGTTAAAAGCTTTGTATATACCATCATAACCAGCTGGTCAGTCAAATATAAACATAAGTCTATTACGTAATTTGTTTACCAGGAACCAGCCAGATAACCAGTCCAGATGTGTAACAGGGAACTTGCCAGAGCATTACTGGAGACATTGGTTTTTGTCTATCTAAACATATAAATAGAGATAGCCGGATCCAAGAAGTGGGATAGAACCGAACTTTGACCAAGAGCACATCCATTTTGAGCATCTGCCCCTTGTGTCAACTCAGTCACAAGATGGCACAACTAAGAATCTGTTTTTTTCTAGGATAGTGAGGGATTGGAAGGGGACCATCTTCTAAAATACTTGGTACTGGTTGTATTTTTAGAAAGGTGCAGGGTTAATCTGACTGCTTTTACAACAGTCCATAAACTGTACTGGAAAGTGAACGTATGGTAAAGCCAGAAGGTTACTTAGGTAAGGAACATGGACCCTTTGGAGAGATTCGCCTGCCTCTCCAAGTCATTTGTCCTCCAGCAAAAGCCAAGCCACGATTCCAGCTCATGTCCCAGATCCAGTCAGTCCCAACATCCAAGAGGAGGGTAAAAGGGCCCTTTTTACCTGGCCCCTAATCAGAGCCCCTGTTGAAGATCTCACGTGTGGGCAGGATCTCATGGACATGACCTTTCCTTCAGGCACCCAAGACATCAAGGGCATTACAGGCAAAGGGTTACTTCTTCCCAGGCTCTAGGAGCTACCGCACTAGCCTGCCCTGTTCCCATTGATGAACAATGGCGAGCTTTGGCATCCCTTTCCTGGCATCCCACCTCAAACGCCTCTCTCCAAAGCGGCTTCATCTTCTTCTGCCTTTGACTTTCCCTCCCTGTCTTCTCCAAGGAGTCTTGCCTTCT